GCTCCGGACGTCCGCGGGTAGCCAACAGGGTATCCAGACGAATCGACATGTCCACCAGCTGATCGAAACTTAGGTTGGTGTCCCTGCAGGCCAACTCTCGGCGAACGTCCTCCCGTAGGCTGCACCTATAGTGGTCGATGAGGGCCCTCTCATTCCATCCCGCATTGGCCGCCAGAGTCCGGAAATCCAGTGCGAATTCCTGCACGCTCCTCTTCCCCTGTCTGAGGTGGAACAGACGCTCCCCCGCCGCTTTCCCCTCTGGGGGATGATCGAAAACCGCCCTGAAGCGGCGGGAGAACTCCGCATAACTGACTGTAGCGGCGTCTATTCCCCTCCACTCGGCGTTGGCCCACTCCAGTGCCTTGCCGGACAGACAGGAGATGAGGGTGGAAACGCTCTCGTATCCCGAGGGCGCCGGGTGAATGGTTGCCAGGTAGAGTTCTACTTGGAGCAGGAAACCCTGACACCCGGCCGCGGTGCCATCATAAGCCCTCGGGAGCAAGAGCCGAATCCCACTGGACTCCGGAGATGGAATGATGGGTATGGCTGAGGGTGGTGGTATTGTTGGAGGAGGTGTGGGCAAACCTCCTCTCTCCCATCGGCTCAAGGTGTTCATAACATCTTGCATGGCGGTGCCCAGTTTCTGGATCATGGCGTCTTGGTTGCTTACGCGCTCCTCCAATGATCCCGTTGGCACCGCTGATCCTGCTGACTCCATGGTGAGGTGTGTTATTCTGTCAGGTGCGACGTGTATGCGGCGAGTGAAGTCAAGCGCAGGACACAGAGATACTAGCAGACTTACTTTACTAATAGTAAAGAACAAAACAAAAACCTCCGAACCAGGAGGGAAAAACACCATACACGTAATATGAATACAGCGATGCCGATGCCGCCTAGACACAAAACAATAACACACAAATACCAAATGTGAGACAAGGGTAATTATAGGATATACAATCAAACATAATAGACAACAGGTGTAACTACTCAAGACAAAACAAGACAAACACCGAAACATCGATCGGCAGTAGCTAGTACTCTGGGGACGACGAACGCCGAAGCCTGCCCGAGCAAGGAGGAGGAGCAGCCTCGGCAGAATCCGTGACACAAGGGCATGTATATTTGCTAGTATAGTATAGTTAATTCATTTGTTTTACCTGCTGGATAAAAGGTCAGAAAAGGCCAATATGAGAGGGCAACGTTTTTTTATTTATTTGGACATAAGGGTTCTCAACATCCAAACATTGGCATGGTGTACATTACATCACAAGGGATTTAACCAATCAGCACTCATGAACAGATAGACACGTGTTAAAGAGAGAGAGCGAGAGAGAGAGCGAGAGAGAGCGAGAGCGAGAGAGAGCGAGAGAGAGAGCGAGAGAGAGCGAGAGAGAGAGCGAGAGAGAGCGAGAGAGAGAGCGAGAGAGAGAGAGAGAGAGAGAGAGAGAGAGAGAGAGAGAGAGAGAGACAGAGGGTAACAGTATGACGACAACTCACGCTCACCACCACAGGCACTTAGCCAGTTTGGTCTCTGAATGTCACTTCATAAACATTGTTATCTTAGCCAACATACAACATCCATTACCCAGGTTTAGCATACATTCCAGAAATCAAAACACTTCCTTGAACATCACATACAGCTCAGAGAAGAAGAGAGTTCACCAAGTGCCATATAAACCATGCAAGTAGAGGAGCTAGGATCCATTGACAGGCCCACTGTTGCCTACAACACTGCGATGGTGCATTCACTTCGAAGGATGAGTATATGAGTAGAAGAAGTAAAGGTTCAACCACAGCACAGCCAGTACACAGAGAGAAAACAGAAAGAAAGGATGAAATTATCAATCAGAGATGATTTCACTGAACGATGCCATAAATGAGTAAATGTACAGTAGTCCAAGTCTTCTTTATAAATCTCTTACCCCTCCAGCAATCAACTAGAGCATATTAGACAATCAATCATACAAGTAAATACTCAATTTCAGTCATTCTGGTAGTATGACATCTGAAGGGTTCATAGTAATTCCTCTATAGCAATGTGTACAGTACATATTTACATCATTCTTGTTTTCTTGACATTCCTCAGATGAAATGATATGCGGGAAGGTGTTACACAGGGGAAAAATATGATAAAAGTTTATATCAAACATGACTGACATACTATATTGTTAAAAATGTAATTATACAAGTTCATTAAAAACTGATGATGTGCACAAAAGGCACTTACTCCTTTTAGACGTACATAAACAAAATACTAATAAAAACATTTAAATGTGAAAACAGACTAGTTAGATAAAGATATACATTTTACTTCTGCAAATCAACATTTAGTATGTGCTTTACTTTATCTTTGAAAATACAGTTTATGTATGTTTGAGGAAAATTAACTTGAATGGACTCTTCAGAACTGTGGCTAATAAAAAAAAAGAAATGTAATGCTTGTAGTTCAACGGGACAAATAAAAAAATATTTAGTTGTCATCAGTGACAGTTCCTCTTGATGGAGAGCCCCATCTGTTACCCATACCTGACCAGTATCCACAGTACTTCTAGTTAAAGCAATACCATATATGACCAGCAGAGGGTGTAAGTGTATAACTTCTGTTGCTTGACATGTCTCTGCGTGCCTGCCTGTAGGCTAGAATCTACCCTGCAGGGGGCAGTGTAACAGATGGAGGTGGGCAAAACTCACTCCGCAATGTTGGTGGTAAACAAAACACACATGGCAAGCAAAAGACTGGGATGGGATCATGGCAACTTTTCCAGTGAAAGTATGTATCTCATAGGAAACTGTGTATGGAATCAAGATCTGCACACATAACAGTGGCTGAATAATGTAGATATGATTGATATTGGAATCACAGCTTGAGATTCAGGTTGATAAATCTGTCCTTGATTTATTGTTCCACCTTTGCTGCCAATTCACTTCCATTGCCCAAACGTTACTGCTACATGTTAGTGACAACAGGTATTCACATATTCCAAAATGGTGAACTACTAGGGTATAGCCCAACTCTCGAAAGCAAAAGGCCTAAACATTAAGTCACTTGTGCGTCTTACCGAGGAAAGGCACCACAACAGTCATTGTTGAATTGTCACATTGTTTGAGTCTAATGGTACAGCATAAAACATGCAGGGCAGGGCAGGGCATGCGGTATACAAGGCAGTCCAAACACACAACTATAGGACTGAGCAGAAGCAGGAGGGGGCTTAGGCCAGCTCAGGCTACAATTGAACCTGACAGCTACAGTATAGGCCTACAGTGACATCTTTTTCAGTATGGACTTACATTTCCTCGCTACAAAGGACTGAAAACAAGAAGTGGGATGAGACACTGGAACATGACAGTGAGGATGTTATAACCAATGGGAGGAGAGGTAAGGAAGGTAAGACCACTGTGCTACTGTTATTATATCACAACATTTACAGCTAACTTCTCAGGCAACACTGGAGTTGTCTAGGTAAGATATCACATTTCAGATCCAAAATAATATTGTAACAGTACTTTGCAGCATATTTTGCGCGTAAAAAGCATTACATAAATCAGACTCGAACAGGCAAGAGGTTGCTTTAAAGATGGCAAACTGTGTATAGTATGAAATCAGGTGCATCTAAGGAACTGTCATGGGCACAAATGTGTGTCTAGTTGTGGACTGACTTCACACAGGTTACTGTGTCAGCAGAAGACAGGCTCTTGTGTTGACCTCTAGAGCTGTTGGAACAGTGAGGGGCTATGGGGTAAAGGGCCATGGTCAACAGTATTCTCACAGTATTACAAACTCATAAAAGAGGGCTCAAACCTTACTGTGGCAAACTATGGTATAATACACTAATTTTACTGAATAATATCTTGGAAGTATTTATATGAGGATTGAGACAGCATTTCAACAACAATATAAATGGAATAAAAGCAGACTCAACTCAACTGGAGACTGACTTGGCCTTATTTACAGTGCATGCAGAACCGCTGTGGGCAGGAGAGAGAACATCAGGATCCATTTGAGTGAAGAAGTGCAAATGTAATTTTAACTCATAAATACAATGTGTGGTATGATGACATCCACATGTCCACATTTCTAAACACAACTGTCAGTGCTGTGATGTGTGTGAGATAGGGAAGAAAATAACAAAGGAAGCAGAACCCATTTTATATTTTGTCTTCGTTTGCTGGTTGACTATTTTCATTTTTTTTACAATGCTATTCACATCTCCTTGCCTGTTCCGTCTTGGCCTGTACAAGATAAAAAATACAAAATAAACATACTAATCATAAACTATATACAAATGAAACTACATTATGATCACAGGTTTCTTACAATTAGTTAGTATATTGGTTCAGTTTTCTGCATTTCATATACGTATACAATGTTGACATGTTGTTACTTTGTTGAACATCCCTTAAACTACAGTACAAACAAAAGGCATAACAACTTCAAGTAAGTCTCTATTTACAGCCAAAAGGCCGATGGCCATCTTGGTTACAGTCTCTTAGACTGAGTGTCCAATCCAGTCCAGAGAGAAGAGCGTCTCATACATACCAGTAAGGAGGGATCAGACATAATCTGGACAACCAGTGCAGGATGAAAACCAATGCCAAAATTCCACAAGTACTTCTTCACGTCTTGCAGTCAATGAATTTCTAAGCAGCGGGGCCACAGACTTTTAATTTTGAGGTAAAAACGAAAACGAAAAAAAATATTTTACTTTGAGGTGATTTTATTCATTATTTTCACGTCTGTTTTCACATCAAGCTTCACAGAGTGTTGAGTTAATATGCTATCAAACTCCTACAGCCTCTCCGCCTGCCATCACTATGGCAACTCAGGCTCACTCCAGGAGCTTTCTGATTTCAAGAAATAAAGTAAAACTCAAAACAAGGAGGGAGGGAAAATCCACACCTGATCTCTGAGAACACATTGACAACGCATCATCGCATTTCTATGGTCTTTCCTCTCCCTCAAGCCGTTGCAACATGACAACCCTGAGTCTCCCTCAGAGCTACATGGTGCCTGACTGGTCCCCAGCTGCGTTAGCTGCGGAGCTAGCCACGGCAGTGCTGTTGGGGAAGATCTTCTCGGTGGGGGTGACAGCAGGGCTTCCTACCCCGGAGGAACTGGAGCTGGAGGAGCGGTGCCCGGTGGGGGGCGGGCGGACGGGCCTCATGGGCGGGGGGCGCAGCTGGGCTCCGGCCAGACGGGCCGACAGGGCAGGCTTGAAGGTGGACATCATCTCAGAGGTGGAGCTGCTGCTGCGGCGCATGGCGGCATCCGGGTCGCGGATCATGATGGTGTGGAGGGGGCTGCCGGGCTCCGAGTTCACAGGGTTCTTCATGGTGGTGTCCAGGGTGTCCAGCACCACATCTGGCGCCTGCTTGCCCGTGTTTTGGCGCTCCAGCTCACGCAGCTCATGTAGGGCCGTGGTCATGGTCTTCTCTATGTCCTGACATACACAAAATACACAGAAGATGTGAAAGGAGATAATTAATCTGATATAATTGCTAAGCCAAGCTAGGCTAAGTTTAGTTTAGCAATGGTAGTAGCCTGAGCCAGGGCTGCTTCACCGAGGCACATAGACAGACAGTACAGCAGGACATCACATCTGCCTCTGCTCTCCCAGACATCAGCAGCTCTCTATCTAGCCTCTCTCTGCTCCCTCTCCTCACACAGTACAACCCAACACAACGGCACCAAATGAAGAGATTAACATCCCCTTTTAATGGCTGCACACTCATTACCACAGTCACAATCACACACACACACACACACACACAATCACACACACATGCACACTCTCTCTCACACACACACACACGTTTTGTTCTTCTATCCTCGTGGGGACCTAAAATGCATTTCCATTCAAAATCCAATTTTCCCTAACCCTTAACCCTAAGCCTAACCCTAACTCTTACCCTAACTTTAACCCTAACCTTAACCCGTAACCCCAACCCTTACCCTTAATTCTAACCCTAATTGTAACCCTAACCGTAAACCTAACCCTTAAGCTTAAAATAGCCTTTGTTTTCATGGGGATGTGGGAAATGTCCCCACAAGAGAACATTTTTCTTGTTTTACTATCCTTGTGGGGACCTTTGGGGATTTTAGGTCCCCACAAGGATAGACGAACCAACCCACACACACACACACACACACACACACACACACACACACACACACACACACACACACACACACACACACACACACACAGTCATTAGCACAATCACACACACACTCAGGGTCATCAACATGGGCTCAGGCTAAAATAGGGCTCTAATAGGAGACCATTAGCTGCACTGATCATAACTTTTCCATTTCAAAATCTGCCTCTATTCCTTTTCCAGCTAGCCGACGCTGGGCTTGTGCAGCCATTATCAATGATCATTAGTACTCATTTCAGCATCAACATGAAATGCATTCTGCTCCGGTCTCTAGGGAATGAATATTCTCTGAGTGACTCTGCTGTGTTGAAGGTTTAGAAATACTGTCCTATAAATTAGTTTGGAATATAGTACAACATCACTTGTGCACCACTATTCAAAATATTGACAGGTGATTCCATTCCATATTGTGTGAGGTTCTATGACTGATAAGGTTACATGGCATGGGGAAAAGAGGCTATGCAGTTATACATTGGGCAGAGGTAATACTTTAGAACCTGGGGCTGATAGGACAGTGATGGCCATACCTCTGCCAGGGTATCAGCCTCCAGTGATTTGTGGTCCCCGAGACTGCTGTGGCGTGTGGCCCCTGGTACGTGCCTCAGGGGGTGGCCCTCGGGATAGGCCTTCCTGTCGGCATAGTTGATGCTGCCCGCGCTGCCAAATGTGCCCAGGCGCCTCTTCTCCGGGCTCTCCATGTAACTCCTGCTCACCGCCACCTTCTGGGGGCTACTGGGACAGGCTGCGGCCCGCGGGGGTGTGTCTGTGCCCCGGGGAGGGCTGTGGGTCTCTCCGCTGCGGTGCCGAGGGATGGCGGCCCCGTCAGAACGTAGCCTCACCCTGAGGAGAGAGACGACATCACAGTCACATAGAGTAGGATTAGGTTGGCCCTGGACACTGATCTAAAAAAAACATTTCAATAGGTATTCCTTCCCAGTCGTTACCCACCTCCCCATGACTCCTCCAAAGTTGCAGTCGGGGGAGTGTTCACACGGTGATGGGACGTCATTTTTGGATGAGGCCTTGTCATCCAGCAGTGGTCCGCTGCTCGCCTCGCTGTCCGCCTTCTGACTGAGATTATCTGAGAATGCATCATCCCTGAAAGGAGAGCGAGAGAGCAAGAGAGAAATAGATGAGAGAGAGTATGCACATTATTCATACAGTTGGTAGAGATCTTATTTAGACTGTTGTTTATTCAAACTAATTGGTCCATATTTACAGCGGGCTCTGGTTTTCAATCTGCAGTCAGTTTATCTGTTCCAGAGAGATACTGGAGCCACTTCACTGACTCCTTTTGAAAATTGATCATTCCAATGTATTCCTAACACAGAAAGTAGCAATACGATATAATAATCTGGCCTTACTGTTGATTCAACATCCAAATGGATTCATGAAACAGACACCAGCGATGATTAGTCACACTATAATTGGAGACTAAACGGCTCATCTTTCAAATGATTGCGTACATTTATAACAGGAATTCATATCTGAGGGTGTATTCAATGAATTCATTAGAGTTCTAAACTTAAACCATGCTCTGGCCTTCTCTTTAGCATCTTTACTTCTGCCTCTTAGCCTGATTGACTGACATCAAATCCACATTTAACTGTGTTACCACTTAAGGTGCACTTGTCAGTGAGGTGTCTTTGAGCGAACACATCAGGCATGAACACATCAAGCAGTCATCGTCGTCGTCGGGTGAGGTTGTGTCTCTCTCTGGCGGGAGGTAAGCTTGGCTTATATGGCTTATATACATAGTTTGGCCTTTGTCGAGTAAAGCTTAAACTATGTATTTAGATTGTAGTTAGGTATTGTAGGTAGTTATCGTGGGTTGTTGTATGTAATTATTGTAGGTTAGTATTGTATTCGGCTGAGCCCGGTGAAGCACGAAGCTAGCTAACCCACTACCTGGACTAGCTAGCGGGTAGCTACTGGTAACTATTAGTAACTGTGGATAGTTGTTTCACGCCTGAGAGTACCTGTAATTACGCCAGCTAGCTGCCTACAATAATTACATACAATATTGCCTACCATTCAGCTTTCAGTTTTCTAACCTCATAGTCTGAAGCGTTAACGTTAGGTAGTAAGTGGCTACTGTGCTTGAAATCTAGCTAGCTTGTTGCTACCTGGATAGCTACTAAACAATGGCTGGAACGACCTAGCAAACAGATGCGAACTGGCTGAGTCAATTCAGTGGCTAGCTTTGCACTTGGCTAGCTAACAGTAGCTGCTAGGGGTAAGTTATAACCTACATTTGTGTTTTGTTTTTACATACTGGTAGCCAGAGTCGTTCAAGGGAATTCTGGACATGGGTGACTAGTTAACGTTAGCTTGGCTCTCTCTGTGTGTTCGTGCCGTGGGAGGAGGGGTTTCTTCTTTGTCTGAAAGCAATGGCTAGCTAGTATGCTAACTATTATAGCTAACTAACTGGCTGAATAAGTTGACGACGGTCTCGCTCAAGCTGTCGGGACTAACCCACAACGTTAGACATGGACACAAACGATCTGCTTGGCGTGTTGACACACTGGTGGTTTGTTGTGGCCGAGAATTGGTGCTAAACTGTGTTGTTGGTGCCCTGGACGATTTTCACGGAAGAATACTGAACCAAGTTAGCTAGCTGAATAAACTAAGTTAGTCTATTCCTAGAAAACATTGAACCGCTGTTGTTTACAACAATTAGAGTTTCTAAGGTGGAAGTTGGGAGAGTTATATTTGGGTGTTTCAGTGAAACGTAAGTGAGGGAGGCCCCGCTCTCTCCTTTCCCAGATGTTTAGTTCATTTCATTCCGATCTCCTTTGCATTATTGTAGCCATTTTCTGTAGCCTGTCAACTATGCCTCTGTCTATCCCTGTTCTCTCCTCTCCGCACAGGCTATACAAACGCCTCACACCGCGTGGCTGCTGCCTCTCTAACCTGGTGGTCCCTGCACGCACCACCCACGTGGAGTTCCAGGTCTCAGGCAGCCTCTGGAACTGCCGTTCTGCTGCCAACAAGGCAGAGTTCATCTCAGCCTATGCTACCCTCCAGTCCCTCGACTTCTTGGCGCTGACGGAAACATGGATTACCACTGAAAACACTGCTACTCCTACTGCTCTCTCCTCGTCTGACCATGTGTTCTCGCATACCCCGAGAGCATCTGGTCAGCGGGGTGGTGGCACAGGAATCCTCATCTCTCCCATGTGGACATTCTCTCTTTTTCCCCTGACCCATCTGTCTATCTTCTCATTTGAATTCCATGCTGTCACAGTCACTAGCCCATTCAAGCTTAACATCCTTGTCATTTATCATCCTCCAGGTTCCCTTGGAGAGTTCATCAATGAGCTTGACGCCTTGATAAGTTCCTTTCCTGAGGATGGCTCACCCCTCACAGTTCTGGGTGACTTCAACCTCCCTACGTCTATCTTTGACTCATTTCTCTCTGCCTCCTTCTTTCCACTCCTCTCCTCTTTTGACCTCACCCTCTCACCGTCCCCCCCTACTCACAAGGCAGGCAATGCGCTTGACCTCATCTTTACTAGATGCTGTTCTTCTACTAATCTCACTGCAACTCCCCTCCATGTCTCCGACCACTACTTTGTATCCTTTTCTCACTCGCTCTCCTCCAACACTACTCACTCTGCCCCTACTCAGATGGTAATGCGCCGTCGCAACCTTCGCTCTCTCTCTCCCGCTACTCTCTCCTCTTCCATCCTATCATCTCTTCCCTCTGCTCAATCCTTCTCCCTCCAATCTCCTGATTCTGCCTCCTCAATCCTCCTCTCCTCCCTTTCTGCATCCTTTGACTCTCTATGTCCCCTATCCTCCCGGCCGGCACGGTCCTCCCCTCCTGCTCCGTGGCTTGATGACTCATTGCGAGCTCACAGAACAGGGCTCCGGGCAGCCGAGTGGAAATGGAGGAAAACTAGACTCCCTGCGGACCTGGCATCTTTTCACTCCCTCCTTTCTACATTTTCTTCATCTGTTTCTGCTGCTAAGGCCACTTTCTACCACTATAAATTCTAACCCTAGGAAGCTCTTTGCCACCTTCTCCTCCCTGCTGAATCCTCCCCCCCCCCCCCCTCCTCCCTCTCTGTGGATGACTTCATCAACCATTTTGAAAAGAAGGTTGACGACATCCGATCCTCGTTTGTTAAGTCAAATGACACTGCTGGTCCTGCTCACACTGCCCTACCCTATGCTTTGACTTCTTTCTCCCCTCTCTCTCCAGATAAAATCTTGCGACTTGTGACGGCCGGCCGCCCAACAACCTGCCCACTTGACCCTATCCCCTCCTCTCTTCTCCAGACCATCTCCGGTGACCTTCTCCCTTACCTCACATCGCTCATCAACTCATCCTTGACCACTGGCTATGTCCCTTCCGTCTTAAGAGAGCGAGAGTTGCACCCCTTCTCAAAAAACCAACACTCGATCCCTCTGATGTCAACAACTACAGACCAGTATCCCTTCTTTCTTTTCTCTCCAAAACTCTTCAGCGTGCCGTCTTTAGCCAACTCTCTTGCTATCTCTCTCAGAATGACCTTCTTGATCCAAACCAGTCAGGTTTCAAGACTGGTCATTCAACTGAGACTGCTCTTCTCTGTGTTATGGAGGCTCTACACACTACTAAAGCTAACTCTCTCTCCTCTGCTTTTGTCCTTCTAGACCTGTCTGCTGCCTTTGATACTGTGAACCATCAGACCCTCCTCTCCACCCTCTCCGAGCTGGGCATCTCTGGCGCGGCTCACTCTTGAATTGCGTCCTACCTGACCGGTCGCTCCTACCAAGTGGCGTGGCGAGAATCTGTCTCCGCACCACGTGCTCTCACCACTGGTGTCCCCCAGGGCTCAGTTCTAGCCCCTCTCCTATTCTCGCTATACACCAAGTCACTTGGCTCTGTCATATCCTCACATGGCCTGTCCTATCATTGCTATGCAGACGACACACAACTCATCTTCTCCTTTCCCCCTTCTGATAACCAGGTGGCGAATCGCATCTCTGCATGTCTGGCAGACATATCAGTGTGGATGACAGATCACCACCTCAAGCTGAACCTCGGCAAGACGGAGCTGCTCTTCCTCCCGGGGAAGGACTGCCCGTTCCATGATCTCGCCATCACGGTTGTCAACTCCGTTGTGTCCTCCTCCCAGAGTGCGAAGAGCCTTGGCGTGACCCTGGACAACACCCTGTCGTTCTCCGCTAACATCAAGGCGGTGACCCGATCCTGTAGGTTCATGCTCTACAACATTCGGAGAGTACGACCCTGCCTTACACAGGAAGCGGCACAGGTCCTAATCCAGGCACTTGTCATCTCCCGTCTGGATTACTGCAACTCGCTGTTGGCTGGGCTCCCTGCCTGTGCCATTAAACCCCTACAACTCATCCAGAATGCCGCAGCCCGTCTGGTGTTCAACCTTCCCAAGTTCTCTCATGTCACCCCTGCTCCTCCGCACACTCCACTGGCTTCCAGTTGAAGCTCGCATCTGCTACAAGACCATGGTGCTTGCCTACGGAGCTGTGAGGGGAACGGCACCTCCATACCTTCAGGCTCTGATCAGTCCCTACACCCAAACGAGGGCATTGCATTCATCCACCTCTGGCCTACTGGCCCCCCTACCTCTGCGGAAGCACAGTTCCCGCTCAGCCCAGTCAAAACTGTTCGCTGCTCTGGCACCCCAATGGTGGAACAAGCTCCCTCACGACGCCAGGACAGTGGAGTCACTCACCACCTTCCGGAGACACTTGAAACCCCACCTCTTTAAGGAATACCTGGGATAGGATAAAGTAAACCTTCTACCCTCCCTTACCCCACCCCCCAAAAAAATATATTGTACATATTGTAAAGTGGTTATCCCACTGGCTATAAGGTGAATGCACCAATTTGTAAGTCGCTCTGGATAAGAGCGTCTGCTAAATGACGTAAATGTAAATGTAATGATTTGAATGATTTATCTGTGCCTTCTCTTTGTGATATTCAGTCAAGGATCTTCCATTAGTGTTACTGATGTGTGTGGCTAATGACATCAAAGCAAAAAGCTTTTGATACACCTGCCATGTCTAATTACTCTCAGGTTTATATCACTTTAGAGAGGGAGAATTGTTGAGGAAAACACTTGATTACTGTAAGACTGACTGTTTCCTGCCTGCCTGCCTGACTGACAGACAGATTTATGTCAGACTGCTCTTCGTCCATCGCTTAAGCTTCATGTTTATGAATGGATATTACTCACAGGTCCTGCACCACGATGTACTGATGTGGGATCAGTCCGTCCACACCGTTGTGCCGCCCCTCCCACCAGTCCTCAGAGGCGCGGTGATACAGCAGCAGTGACGCTCCCTTCTTAAAGGACAGCTCCCGGGGGGTGCGCCCCACATAGTCAAACTTAGCGATGGCCTCAATCTGCTCCAACTCTGTGGAAATGAAGAACAGCAGGAGAGAAACATAGTCACAACCTGGACCAGCTTCATTTCCTGATGTAATGACATAACTCACACCCCATTGAGATGTGTGGACTGAGTAGCCTACTCTACCCTGGCCTGTGTGTGAGGCCCAATCAAGCTTCACTGAGTTCATTAAGATAAATAAGGATCCCCTTGCTCTAATTACTAAGACCTAAACCATGTTGGCAAACAATGAGAGCATGGCTTCATGTTCTCAGACAATGAAATATCTGAGTTGAAGAAAAATAAAATGAGATGCAGCATTACGATAGAAACTCTATTCTCTAACAGGGAGGATGGTTACTGTTTGAGTGATACACTTCGATTCCAAGCATTGTTGTGAGTTGAAGAGCAGCTGTCATTGAGTACCAATCAACACCAGTGCCACCAATGAGCACATACACAACTCTACGCTCTATGCTAACACTGTAGTCTGATCAGGGAACACTACTATCCCAACAGCTAGTAAACAGGTTGACAACACATTCAATCCAATGACTTGGTCCTTTAATTACATTATGGGTCCCAACACACCAAACTACTCACACACCAATAGCCAGAAGAAACAACTTTCATGCTGTAGACAGCCTGTTGAAAGAACAGACACACAAAGGCACAGGCTCTATTTGTCTGTAAGCAAACATCAGTCACCATTCAACCCTGGACCAGAGGACATTAGAAGACCTGTCTCTGCTACAAGCCGCTCTGTTCCACAGCGACGGTGCCAAGGGAGGGGGTATGAGGGGTGAGGGATGTCTGCGCACGCATGCAAACACACACGCACAACACAACACACCCTGGGGCCAGGCTGATATCAATCACACAAAGAGCCTGATGACTTGGGACACACGCAACCTTGGGGACATGTCCCATAGAGGAGAGATTGACTTCATCACTACTTGTATTTGTAAGAAGTGTTGGCAAGCTGAATGAATCGAGCTGTCTGTTTAAACTACTAGCACACAGCTCGGACCCATGCATACCCCACAAGACATGCCACCAGAGGTCTCTTCACAATCCCAAAGTCCAGAACAGACTATGGGAGGCGCACAGTACTACATAGAGCCATGGCTACATGCAACTCTATTCCACATCAGGTAACTGATGCAAGCAGTAGAATCAGATTAAAAAAACAGATACAAATGCACCTTATGGAACAGCGGGGACTGTGAAGAGACACACACACAGGTACAGACACACGCATATGCACACAAAAGATTGTACTCTACACACACGTACATCATAATATTGTTGCATGGTGGTATTATACAATTTGTATTGTAGATATATAGTAGAGTAACAATGTTATATGATGTACTGTTTTATGTGTGATGTAAGTGCCTTAATGTGTTTGGACCCCAGGAAGAGTAGCTGCTGCCTTGGCAGAAACTAATGGGGATCCATTATAAATACAAATACAAACAGAGATATGCACATGTAGTGTGTGTTCAAAATGAGAAAGGAATCTAAGCTAGTCCCCAGGCTGTCAGATTTCCCATCTAGATTTCCCTGTTGGGGTGGGAGGGTGTGTGTGTATGTGGCAGGACTGGCCTTGACCACTGGTACTACAGCCACAGGAAACAAAAACAGAGACAAGGGGTCAGTCGGGGTTAAACACATGTATAAAATAAATTGTCTCCCAACAGGAGATTTCCAAGTCAACCAGAAAGCCTAATCAGTTCCATTAGGAGCTCCATCCAGGGGTGAACTTACCTACAGTAACATGGAGAGAAAGGGAGGAAGAGGAGGAGGAGAATAGAGGAGGAAGATGAGATGTAGGAGGAGGAGGAGGAGGAGGAGGAGAGGAGAATAGAGGAGGAAGATGAGATTGAGATTGAGTAGGAGGAGGTAGAGGAGGAGGAGGAGAGAGGAATAGGAAAGAGAGGGGTGGAGAGAGAGAGGAGGGAGAGAGAGACAGAAGGACATGGCAGGGTAACATTGTCTATCTTTGTCCCCCTCGTTAAATAGAGCTCTTTCGCTTCCTCAGAAACACAATAACATGTCTGCCTGTCTGTAGTGACGGTAAGATCCCTGTGATCATGACAATAACTCACAGTTTCTCTCCAAACAAGAGCAAATATTCAAAGCAAAAACACTAGCTGATGGCCACAATAGTCAAACTAGGCCCACAACGTGGTTTTATAGTATTTATATAGACCTCAAGTTCTAGATTCAGCTAGAAAATGTTGCTATGTCGGGCTATAGGACCATGTCTCTAGATCCAGTGTGAGGGCCAGGCTGTGTAGGGCGGCATTGCCTCAAGTCTGAGAAGAGCCAAGACAGGACCATGTGACTCTCATTCCCTCCAAGCACACTAATTAAACAGCGGGAGACCACGATCCAGCGCCAAGAGCTATGCCCTGCCTGGCCTGCCTGGCTGTGCCTCTGTACTCTCCTCTCCTCCCAGCTCTCTGCAGGCGGAGCTGTGTGGGGCAGTCAGCCTTTGTCCTGCTGTTTGGTTCAGAGGGCTGGGGAGGGTGTTAGCACTCATTACCGACACACCAATCACTACAGATGGGGCTTCCCGATAGGGTTACCCTAGCCTAGCTTAGCGTAGAGTAGTACACTACGGGCCTGCCCATTGAGAGCTAGCCGATAGCATCTCTGGTGTTGTTACTCATGTTTTGCGTTTAGCCCAATTATTCTGTCAGGGCTCTGAGCAGAAAAAGGAAAATACAAAAGGCACAAAGGAGGAAGTCCCATGGGACCCGTTTACTATCGCTGAACAAAGAGAGAGCAAAGGATGGGAGAGAGAGAGATATATAGAGAGAGAGCTACAATGGGAGAGAGGGGTAGAGGGATGGAGAGAGAGAACGAGAGAGAGAGCAAGAGAGAGAGAATAAGAGAGAGGTGGGGGTTGCCAACACACAACCTTGTCTCAGGCTTGAAGCATGATGTGTTCCTGTGCAGCCCTAAGCTGTCACAGTCTATCTGAGCTGTGCCTAGGTCTCTCCTTCAGTCTAAAAAACACACAGAATAAGGTCACTCAGCACGCAACTCCATCTACACAGCCTTCTTACACGCCAGATCACATTCATACTGAGCACATCCAACCATAACACGCAATACCTCTCCTGTCCCAATATCAACAGGGTCTATATCTATCACGGGCTTTGAAACAACCACATTCAACCTTAACCCTTTACACTCGTGGAAATTAGCCTACAGTGAGGGAAAAAATTATTTGATCCCCTGCTGATTTTGTACGTTTGCCCACTGACAAAGACATGATCAGTCTATAATTTTAATGGTAGGTTTATTTGAACAGTGAGAGACAGAATAACAACAAAAAAATCCAGAAAAACGCATGTCAAAAGTGTTATAAATTGATTTGCATTTTAATGAGGGAAATAAGTATTTGACCCCTCTGCAAAACATGACTTAGTACTTGGTGGCAAAACCCTTGTTGGCTATCACAGAGGTCAGACATTTCTTGTAGTTGGCCACCAGGTTTGCACACATCTTAGGAGGGATTTTGTTCCACTCCTCTTTGCAGATCTTCTCCAAGTCATTAAGGTTTCGAGGCTGACGTTTGGCAACTCGAACCTTCAGCTCCCTCCACAAATGTTCTATGGGATTAAGGTCTGGAGACTGGCTAGGCCACTCCAGGACCTTAATGTGCTTCTTCTTGAGCCACTCCTTTGTTGCCTTGGCCGTGTGTTTTGGGTCATTGTCATGCTGGAATACCCATCCATGACCCATTTTAAATGCCCTGGCTAAGGGAAGGAGGTTCTCACCCAAGATTTGACGGTACATGGCCCCATCCATCGTCCCTTTGATGCGGTGAAGTTGTCCTGTCCCCTTAGCAGAAAAACACCCCCAAAGCATAATGTTTCCACCTCCATGTTTGACGGTGGGGATGGTGTTCTTGGGGTCATAGACAGCATTCCTCCTCCTTCAAACACGGCGAGTTGAGTTGATGCCAAAGAGCTCCATTTTGGTCTCATCTGACCACAACACTTTCTCCCAGATCTCCTCTGAATCATTCAGATGTTCATTGGCAACCTTCAGACGGCCCTGTATATGTGCTTTCTTGAGCAGGGGGACCTTGCGGGCACTGCAGAATTTCAGTCCTTCACGGCGTAGTGTGTTACCAATTGTTTTCTTGGTGACTATGGTCCCAGCTGCCTTGAGATCATTGACAAGATCCTCCTGTGTAGTTCTGGGCTGATTCCTCACCGTTCTCATGATCATTGCAACTCCACAAGGTGAGATCTTGCATGGAGCCTCAGGCCGAGGGAGATTGACAATTATTTTGTGTTTCTTCCATTTGCGAATAATCGCACCAACTGTTGTCACCTTCTCACCAAGCTGCTTGGTGATGGTCTTGTAGCCCATTCCAGCCTTGTGTAGGTCTACAATCTTGACCCTGACATCCTTGGAGAGCTCTTTGGTCTTGGCCATGGTGGAGAGTTTGGAATCTGATTGATGGATTGCTTCTGTGGACAGGTGTCTTTTATACAGGTAACAAACTGAGATTAGGAGCACTCCCTTTAAGAGTGTGCTCATAATCTCAGCTCGTTACCTGTATGAAAGACACCTGGGAGCCAGAAATCTTTCTGATTGAGAGGGGGTCAAATACTTATTTCCCTCATTAAAATGCAAATCAATTTATAACATTTTTGACATGCGTTTTTCTGGATTTTTTTGTTGTTATTCTGTCTCTCACTGTTCAAATAAACCTACCATTAAAATTATAGACTGATAATTTCTTTGTCAGTGGGCAAACGTGCAAAATCAGCAGGGGATCAAATACACTGCTCAAAAAAATAAAGGGAACACTAAAATAACACATCCTAGATCTGAATGAATGAAATAATCTTATTAAATACTTTTTTCTTTACATAGTTGAATGTGCTGACAACAAAATCACACAAAAATGATCAATGGAAATCAAATGTATCAACCCATGGAGGTCTGGATTTGGAGTCACCCTCAAAATTAAAGTGGAAAACCACACTACAGGCTGATCCAACTTTGATGTAATGTCCTTAAAACAAGTCAAAATGAGGCTCAGTAGTGTGTGTGGCCTCCAAGTGCCTGTATGACCTCCCTACAACGCCTGGGCATGCTCCTGATGAGGTTGCGGATGGTCTCCTGAGGGATCTTCTCCCAGACCTGGACTAAAGCATCCGCCAACTCCTGGACAGTCTGTGGTGCAACGTGGCGTTGGTGGATGGAGCGAGACATGATGTCCCAGACGTGCTCAATTGGATTCAGGTCTGGGGAACGGGTGGGCCAGTCCATAGCATCAATGCCTTCCTCTTGCAGGAACAGCTGACACACTCCAGCCACATGAGGTCTAGCATTGTCTTGCATTAGGAGGAACCCAGGGCCAACCGCACCAGCATATGGTCTCACAAGGGGTCTGAGGATCTCATCTCGGTACCTAATGGCAGTCAGGCTGCCTCTGGCGAGCACATGGAGGGCTGTGCGGCCCCCCAAAGAAATGCCACCCCACACCATGACTGACCCACCGCCAAACCGGTCATGCTGGAGGATGTTGCAGGCAGCAGAATGTTCTCCACGGCGTCTCCAGACTCTGTCACGTGCTCAGTGTGAACCTGCTTTCATCTGTGAAGAGCACAGGGCGCCAGTGGTGAATTTGCCAATCTTGGTGTTCTCTGGCAAATGCCAAACGTCCTGCACGGTGTTGGGCTGTAAGCACAACCCCCACCTGTGGACGTCGGGCCCTCATACCACCCTCATGGAGTCTGTTTCTGACCGTTTGAGCAGACACATGCACATTTGTGGCCTGCTGGAGGTCATTTTGCAGGGCTCTGGCAGTGCTCCTCCTGCTCCTCCTTGCACAAAGGCGGAGGTAGCAGTCCTACTGCTGGGTTGTTGCCCTCCTACGGCCTCCTCCACGCCTCCTGATGTAGTGGCCTGTCTCCTGGTAGCGCCTCCATGCTCTGGACACTACGCTGACAGACACAGCAAACCTTCTTGCCACAGCTCGCATTGATGTGCCATCCTGGATGAGCTGCACTACCTGAGCCACTTGTGTGGGTTGTAGACTCCGTCTCATGCTACCACTAGAGTGAAAGCACCGCCAGCATTCAAAAGTGACCAAAACATCAGCCAGGAAGCATAGGAACTGAGAAGTGGTCTGTGGTCACCACCTGCAAAACCAGTCCTTTATTGGGGGTGTCTTGCTAATTGCCTATAATTTCCACCTGTTGTCTATTCCATTTGCACAACAGCATGTGAAATGTATTGTCAATCAGTGTTGCTTCCGAAGTGGACAGTTTGATTTCACAGAAGTGTGATTGACTTGGAGTTACATTGTGTTGTTTAAGTGTTCCCTTTATTTTTTTGAGCAGTGTACTTTTTTCCCTCACTGTATATGGATCGGGCCAAATTGAAATGTTTCTAACAGAAGAACTATAAAAAGCATATGTATGATCATGGTAGCAATTGAAAGAGAACACTTTGGAGATTATGGGGAAATGATCAGACCAAAGGTGAGGACATAACAGTTCAACTGACACAAGACTGAATCCAAACATTACACTGTCGATTTTATTCACATTTACATTTACTAATAATAACGAAATCTGAAGATACTCTGGATACATTTAGTAACATAATAAGAATATTCATGGCCATTTTGGGGTGGGTGCAACATAAGAAAAAACGGGTTTGAGTGAGAGGTCTAACTGGTGTCTCCAAGTGGCCACACACCTCTCCAAAGTGTGCACAGTTCCTAAGTAATTTCAATGCACTTTTATGACTCAAGGAAATAGCCTTCAAATATAAAGTACCTTTTTGAACTTTCTTAGCTTTGCCGTTGAGGAACTGAAGCAAGCACACTTGTAGTTGTTTTGTTTGGAACACAGCCCTGCCTCCCCACCATCACACAACTACTGTTGTTGTTTACGCAACGCAAAACCTTCCCATTATAAATCTCAATCTGGGTCAGGTGGGCATGATTTGAAAGCTTGTTCTGTTCCCAACATGATTAGCTAAATTATAAAATAGAATCTTACAGTGTTAGGCTTTCACAAGGCACTGCATACAAACATATTGTAATTTTGGTGAGCAAAGAATGGAGTGGAGATAGCTCCCGTGTAGCTCAGTTGGTAGAGCATGGCGCTTGCAACGCCAGGGTTGTGGGTTCGATTCCCACGGGGGGCCAGTATGAAAAATTTATGCACTAACTGTAAGTCGCTCTGGATAAGAATGTCTGCTAAATGACTCAAATGTAAAATGTCATGAGTACATTCATTTCCGAGTTTGTTGCGCTTGGTAGTTGGTAGTTGTTAGACACGTTTAGAACAGCTGTCAGTTGAATCCCATAAAGCAATATACAGCGGACAGCCTGAATTCTGATGTCATATATAGTATGTTACTGTACAGCCACTGAGTTCCAATTGAGGCGCTTATCAATGACCAAATCTGCCATTTTCAACCCGTATAAGGGATGAGAGGGTCTGTGAGTGTAAAGGGCTAAAATCTTTTATAACCTTATATCAACTGCTCATCAGCTTTATCAAATCTACGATATATCTGCTGTTGTAATTGATATTACAAATCAATCTGTCCGTCTCTATGGGGGACATTGTGGTCCATACAGTGGGGAAAAAAAGTATTTAGTCAGCCACCAATTGTGCAAGTTCTCCAACTTAAAAAGATGAGAAAGGCCTGTAATTTTCATCATAGGTACACGTCAACTATGACAGACAAATTGAGATTTTTTTTCTCCAGAAAATCACATTGTAGGATTTTTAATGAATTTATTTGCAAATTATGGTGGAAAATAAGTATTTGGTCACCTACAAACAAGCAAGATTTCTGGCTCTCACAGACCTGTAACTTCTTCTTTAAGAGGCTCCTCTGTCCTCCACTCGTTACCTGTATTAATGGCACCTGTTTGAACTTGTTATCAGTATAAAAGACACCTGTCCACAACCTCAAACAGTCACGCTCCAAACTCCACTATGGCCAAGACCAAAGAGCTGTCAAAGGACACCAGAAACAAAATTGTAGACCTGCACCAGGCTGGGAAGACTGAATCTGCAATAGGTAAGCAGCTTGGTTTGAAGAAATCAACTGTGGGAGCAATTATTAGGAAATGGAAGACATACAAGACCACTGATAATCTCCCTCGATATGGGGCTCCACGCAAGATCTCACCCCGTGGGGTCAAAATGATCACAAGAACGGTGAGCAAAAATCCCAGAACCACACGGGGGGACCTAGTGAATGACCTGCAGAGAGCTGGGACCAAAGTAACAAAGCCTACCATCAGTAACACACTACGCCGCCAGGGACTCAAATCCTGCAGTGCCAGAAGTGTCCCCCTGCTTAAGCCAGTACATGTCCAGGCCCGTCTGAAGTTTGCTAGAGTGCATTTGGATGATCCAAAAGAGGATTGGGAGAATGTCATATGGTCAGATGAAACCAAAATAGAACTTTTTGGTAAAAACTCAACTCGTCGTGTTTGGAGGACAAAGAATGCTGAGTTGCATCCAAAGAACACCATACCTACTGTGAAGCATGGGGGTGGAAACATCATGCTTTGGGGCTGTTTTTCTGCAAAGGGACCAGGACGACTGATCCGTGTAAAGGAAAGAATGAATGGGGCCATGTATCGTGAGATTTTGAGTGAAAACCTCCTTCCATCAGCAAGGGCATTGAAGATGAAACGTGGCTGGGTCTTTCAGCATGACAATGATCCCAAACACACCGCCCGGGCAACGAAGGAGTGGCTTCGTAAGAAGCATTTCAAGGTCCTGGAGTGGCCTAGCCAGTCTCCAGATCTCAACCCCATAGAAAATCTTTGGAGGGAGTTGAAAGTCCGTGTTGCCCAATGACAGCCCCAAAACATCACTGCTCTAGAGGAGATCTGCATGGAGGAATGGGCCAAATACCAGCAACAGTGTGTGAAAACCTTGTGAAGACTTACAGAAAACGTTTGACCTGTGTCATTGCCAACAAAGTGTATATAACAAAGTATTGAGAAACTTTTGTTATTGACCAAATACTTATTTTCCACCATAATTTGCAAATAAATTCATTAAAAATCCTACAATGTGATTTTCTGGATAATTTTTTCTCATTTTGTCTGTCATAGTTGACGTATACCTATGATGAAAATTACAGGCCTCTCTCATATTTTTAAGTGGGAGAACTTGCACAATTGGTGGCTGACTAAATACTTTTTTCCCCCACTGTAGATAAAACACTGTCCCTGGTCTGACTAACCACTTTAATATTGAACGTCTCATTGCATGAATTAGATCCTCTATATATGAAGCTGAATGTTAACCCACGGCTACAGTACATTGGCGGTTTCTGCATGTCACGTACGTTGAAGAACGGGTCAGACCAAGGTGCAGCGTGAAATGCATCCATGTTTATTAAACCGAATAAACATACAAAACAACAACAGGCAACGAAAAGTGACGTCGGAAGGCTATACACACAAGCCAAACTCACCGAGCACAAAACAAGATCCCACAACACAGGCAGGAAAACTGGCTGCCTAAGTATGATCCCCAATCAGAGACAACGAGCGACAGCTGCCTCTGATTGGGAACCACACCCGGCCAAACATAGAAATACAAACATAGAATCAACACACACATGATATTCACACCCTGACCAAACTAACTAGAGTTCTATAGGTCAGGGCGTGACACTGCATCTGATCTCAATTATAATGGGAGGTCCAGTCCAGTCCAGACACACTGAGCTGCAGTGCTGCAGTACACAGCAGAGCCACAGCTGCCTGGGGAGGCAGACAGACAGATAGACAGACAGCAGGGCTACCAGATACAACCAACCCTCCATCTTTAACATAGACAGCACAGGCTATGCTGTTATGTCATACTTTAGTAGACTATAAGCATGTCTAGCACCAACACTAAGAGCCACAGCAGGATAAACAGCAGTGCAGTTACAAAAACAAACACAACCCAGAGAGTAATGAAACTTAAGACAACAGCAGGAAGGCAAGGGAAACAACACAAGCTTCAGGAGTTTTTCAACAACCAATTGGCTAATTCCGATTAGCTGTGTAGCCAGCTAGCTACAGCACATTTATCTTAATCAATCACCCAAACCGTTCCTCTACAGAGTGTCTGAAGAAGTAAAGGAACCCCATGTTACTGACCGTCATCACTGGTGTGTGGCTCGGTCCCGTTGTCAGCCTCATCGATGGTGCCTGGCTCACTGTGGGGGCTGTCACTGTGGACACAGAGAGCGAGATGGACAGTCAGTCAATGGTCAACTCAGACACACCCACAACACTTGCATAGGTTACATGGTACTAAACTAAGGAAAGATGAGTTACAGGTCATACTTGGATCTGTTCCAAGTAAGTAGGGGGCATTTATATCAGCATATTTCTCTAGAAAGTAGTACAAGTTACAGTTGGACCAGCTCCAGGTAAAGGATTCATTTTACTACAGGCCATAGGCCTACGAAAAATCAGAATATTGATGCACGCTAGCTTGTAAGCCATCCCTGTGAGTTTTGATATGCAAAACATTCCCAAGCAGTATTATTGGCATCTGTGTAATAGAAATATAGTACACAGACACACACATATTGACACCCCCCCACACACACACACAATCACCACATACGTTGCTGCTATTATTTACGACTATATTTATTCTGCAGCTCAGACACTTTTCCCTGGTTTCATGAACATATCTACCTCAACTATCACCAGTATATTATTATCTTAGGGTATTATATCCAAGCACTGTCTGTAAAAGCATGTGCTTGAGAAAATACCACCCCCATAGGAATGCACTCATGCTGCCTAGCATCCTCATCTCTACTACACACTCCAAATTCCCCTCTTCTCACCACATTATCAAGCCGGATGATAATGTAGTCTGTGAGAGACCATACCATATGCTGGAGCCGCCAGAAGCAGAACAGTCTAACTGTACTGGTGCTTAACCCAGGGTTACGCATGTGACATTATTGCTGCTTTAGCCTTAGCCATACAGTGTGTCTTCAGTGCTTGTCGTAAAGGTGTTGACCTCCCAGGTCTAGCTACAGTTGAAGTCGGAAGTTTACATGCACTTAGGTTGCAGTCATTAAAACTAGTTTTTCAACCACTTCACAAATTTCTTGTTAACAAACTCTAGTATTGGCAAGTCGGTTAGGACATCTACTTTGTGCATGACACAAGTAATTTTTACAACAATTGTTTACAGACAGATTATTTCACTTATAATTCACTGTATCACAATTCCAGTGGGTCAGAAGTTTACATACTCTAAGTTGACTGTGCCTTTAAACAGCTTGGAAAATTCCAGAAAATGATGTCATGGCTTTAGATGCTTCTGATAGGCTAATTGACATCATTTGAGTTAATTGGAGGTGTACCTGTGGATGTATTTCAAGGCCTACCTTCAAACTCAGTGCCTCTTTGCCTGACATCATGGGAAAATCAAAAGAAATCAGCCAAGACCTCCGAAAAAAATGTGTAGACCTACACAAGTCTGGTTCATCCTTGGGAGCAATTTCCAAACACCTGAAGGTACCACGTTCATCTGTACAAACAATAATACGCAAGTATAAACACCACGGGACCACGCAGCCGTCATACCGCTCAGGAAGGAGACGCGTTCTGTCTCCTAGAGATGAACGTACTTTGGTGCGAAAAGTGCAAATCAATCCCAGAACAACAGCAAAGGACCTTGTGAAGATGCTGGAGGAAACCGGTAAAAAAGTATCTATATCCACAGTAAAACGAGTCCTATATCGACATAACCTGAAAGGCCGCTCAGCAAGGAAGAAGCCACTGCTCTAAAACCACCATAAAAAAGCCAGACTACGGTTTGCACATGGGGACAAAGATCGTACTTTTTGGAGAAATGTCCTCTGGTCTGATGAAACAAAAATAGAACTGTTTGGCCATTTTACTAGGATTAAATGTCAGGAATTGTGAAAAACTGAGTTTAAATGTATTTGGCTAAGGTGTATGTAAACTTCCGACTTCAACTGTACTTCTCACCAGTACTCCTCTCCTCCAGTCATGCACTTCTCATAGACCGGCCCGTCCAGCTCACGGTGGCTGGGGAAGATGACCTCGTTGTGGATGATGATGGTCTTGATGACCTCATTGACATGCGCCTGGATGGCTACAGGGTCCTGTCCGTCGGGGATGGGCATCAGGGTGGGGCCAAAGCAGATGGCCAGGTTATAGGGATCCATCATGTTCTCATCGCTGTACTGGGATAGGCTGGAGGGGAAGAGAGAGAGAGATGAACCACTGAACTCCATATTTACAGTATGAGGTGAATTGATGGGTGGATCCATTAAACTCAAAGACCTACGTTTGCCAATAAAAGTGAGGCCTATCTGTTTCCCAAATCCTCTAATATAAAGAGGGTTGAGTATGGCTGTGACTGTAAAGACTCTACACTCTACAGTGGGTTGAGATCTACAACTTCCCTGAAGTAGCAACATGTCCTTTACTATCTGAGCTGAGATCCATTTTGGACCTCCACCCCATCTCAGTATAAGAAAATCCTTAAACCCCCTACCATTAGTTACCTTAACCCCCAACATCCCAACTTAGCTAGCACATTCCTCAGTCTCCCTGTTTAGTTGTAGCTTAGATTCCCACACCCATCCAACCTTAACACACCTGCCCTTAAAACTGAACAGTTTAACAGGCCTATTAATAAGCCATCCTGGTTTAGGGGGCAGTAAGCCCATCCTCCCTTCCAGCAGCATCCTAGTTAGGGAAAAGGCCTGTCCTTACACTCATCTGCTTTAAGAGGTGCTCTTAATCAGAACATAGTGGTGTGGAGCTGGAGCAGTAAAGACCTACAGTTGGTCCAGAGCCTAACTGTCTGAGGGGGGCATAAAACACAGAGGTAAAAGTCAGAATGTGGAATCAAACGCTTTGTTCTGCAGGGGAACCAAGCAAAGGGAGCATCAATAACAGCCCAATAAAACAGGACAGGTATATTACTGGGTTGATGGATGAGTTTCCGAGCAGGCACGTCAATAAGTTCTAAAGCGCTGCCGGCATTTGTGGTAATAAATAGGACGTGAACAGTAGGGCTGTTCAATAACTCTGGAAATCAATGTCTTTTCCTCTCTGAATACTGCAGCAGTGATTCACTAGTTCTGTTAATTTAGTGCAATACAGGGATTTTTCTATTCCCCAAGACTTTATAAAAGTTATCATTTCAGACCTTTACCCTATCCTGTTATACTGTATGCCCTTAGTATATAGGTACTCTGGTATAGGGACAACTCTATTCAACAACTGTGATATGTGAGTTGTTATGTCAATATGGTCGACTTACTGATTGAGGAACGCGAACAGGTATCTCATGACGATGATGACGGTGCGAGGAAGAGTCACAATAATCTGCTGGACGTGATGCGCTCTCTCAGCTCCAGACTCCAGTTCTGAAACAGAGGAAGACCAGAGCGTTATAACACCACCTGGCACTGAGATGAATGGGAGGAAGATACAGACCATGATCTATTGAATATACAGAATGAGCAGACCTTATCAGGGCGCTGGCAGTCATACTAAGGGTACAGTCATTTTATTTGATTTATTTAACCTTTATTTAACTAGGCAAGTCAGTTAAGAACAAATTCTTATTTACAATGACGGCCTACACCAGCCAAACCCGGACGACGCTGGGCTATGGGACTCCCAATCACAGCCGGTTGTGATACAGCCTGGAATCGAACCAGGGGGTCTGTAGTGACGCCTCAAGCACTGAGAAGCAGTGCCTTAGACCGCTGTGCCACTCGGGATGACAACACAAACACTCCTATTATTAATAGATAACCCCTCCTCATTTAAACTAGAGGATGTGGTGAGTGACTGGGCTATCTGGAGCAGGGGAAAACACAGCAAAGCTGCGCTGAGTTAGTAGACTGATGTGGCCCCCTCGCTCCTCTCTTCCTATTGGGTTTCTATTAAATCACAGGCAGGCAGACAGCCGTGGTGTTGAGATTGTTTCCATATGTTCCATACCCTGCTATACCATAAATAATTATCATAAATAATTGTGTGTAGGGTGTTGTGGTTGGGAAGTGATGATCTATCTGTGGACCTGGAGGGTGGCTTCTCTCTCTTCTATTCTGATTCTATCTCTACTAGTGACGTACCCACAGTCCATTAAGACAGAGTGTGAATAATCCAAAGGCATGTACTGTACCGTAGCCCCAATGGTGTTATTTCACCACCCAGATGGGTAGGGTTATGGTATCATTTCAGTTACCCTGAACACATTTACTACATTGACCAACAGTGTTCGGTGGGGGCACCAGGGGCTCTAGAGTCTACTCACTGATAGTAGAAATGAGGTCCAGGAAGCGTTCCTTGGGGAACAGAGGGTTCTCCAGGCCCCTGAAGTACAGCTTGAGGACCCCTGCCACTGAGTTGATGTCATGTTCATTCTGGTCTTCAATCAATGGGTCTTCACCTTGAAAAACAATTGCGCAGAGTAGAGTTATTATTTTGGAGTATCTGACCACTGCAACAGAACTGAATCTGTAAAAAGATGAACCATTAAAGACTTAATTACTGTACATAAAACATTTTAAAGAGGGATTAAAATTTTTTGCTTGCTACATGTAGGTCTTATATTCTAGAAAATAATATAAAGATATCTACTGTATGTCTGAAGTTCAATGGGTTTGTTGTGTTATTGATCCTGAGCTGTAGAGGAAAAACAAAAAGCTAATCTATCACCAATTACCCCCAGTCTCACTGCGGACCTACCTCTCTCAAATGAGTTTTTAATATCATTGACCTCCACCTGGGATCCAGGCACACGGAATATGCCCTGCTGCTGGAGCCCTGCAAGACATAGAAACATAATACTGAGTCCAAGGCTGAGCCTGAGCCCACCATTATCCCCAAACCCAAATGGCCGCTACATGAAAGACCAATGGGAAACACACAACAGAGAGCAGGAAATGTAATCTGGTCATAAATGGATGTGTTTTTTCTTCTTACAGGAGAGGGCCCCTCGGTTGGTCTGCTGCATATGGTTTCTGTTAGAGAACCCCTAATCAGTTTATGGGGGTTTCATTAGGTCTAGGGGGATAGGGGAAGGGAGGGGTCAGGGAGGGGGTACAGGCCTTGGGGCTACACCACTCTGGCTGGAGTCAGATGTGGTGGTAGACAGAAGGATGAAGATACGAGGAGGGAGGGGGGAGAGGGAAGGAAGTCCCTATGCGTGATGTGCTGCCACACTCCTGTCACAAATCAAATCAAATGTTATTTGTCACATGCGCCGAATACAATGTCCCCTGTAGCTCAGTTGGTAGAGCATGGCGCTTGCAACGCCAGGGTTGTGGGTTCGTTTCCCACGGGGGGCCAGTATGAAACTGTATGCACTCACTAACTGTAAGTCGCTTTGGATAAGAGCGTCTACTAAAATGTAAATGTGAAATGCGTAGACCTTACAGTGAAATGCTTACTTACAAGCCCTTAACCAACAATTACGTTTTAAAAAAGAATACCTAAAAAAATAAGAAATAAAAGTAACAAATAATTAAAGAGCAGCAGTAAAATAACAATAGCGAGGCTATATACAGGGGGTACCGGTACTGAGTCAATGTGCGGGAGCACCGGTTAGTCGAGGTAATTGACATAATATGTACATGTAGGTAGAGTTATTAAAGTGACTATGCATAGATAATAAACAGAGAGTAGCAGCAGCGTAAAATAGGGGGGGGAGGGGGCAATGCAAATAGTCTGGCTTGGGGGTAGAAGCTGTTTAGAAGCCTCTTGGACCTAGACTTGGCGCTCCTGTAACGCTTGCCGTGCGGTAGCAGAGAGAACAGTCTGTGACTAGGGTGGCTAGAGTCTTTGACCATTTTTAGGGCCTTCCTCTGACACCGCCTGGTATAGAGGTCCTGGATGGCAGGAAGCTTGGCCCCAGTGATGTACTGGGCCGCACGCACTACCCTCTGTAGTGCCTTGCGGTCGGAGGCTGAGCAGTTGCCATACCAGGCAGTGATGAAACTAGTCAGGATACTCTCGATGGTGCAGCTGTAGAACCTTTTGAGGATCTGAGGACCCATGCCAAATCTTTTCAGTCTCCTGAGGGGGAATAGGTTTTGTCGTGCCCTCTTCACGTCTGTCTTGGTGTGCTTGGACCATGTTAGATGGTTGGTGATGTGGACACCAAGGAACTTGAAGCTCTCAACCTACTCCACTACGGCCCTGTCGATGAGAAAGGGGCGTGCTCAGTCCTCCTTTTCCTGTAGTCCACAATCATCTCCTTTGTCTTGATCACGTTGAGGGAGAGGTTGTTGTGCTGGCACCACACGGCCAGGTCTCTGACCTCCTCCCTATACGCTGTGTCGTCGCTGTCGGTGATCAGGCCTACCACTGTTGTGGCATCGGCAAACTTAATGATGGTGTTGGAGTCATGCCTGGCCATGCAGTCATGGGTGAACAGGGAGTACAGGAGGGGACTGAGCACGCACCCCTGAGGGGCCCCCGTGTTGAGGATCAGCGTGGCGGATGTGTTGTTACCTACCCTTACCACCTGGGGGCGGCCCGTCAGGAAGTCCAGGATCCAGTTGCAGAGGGAGGTGTTTAGTCCCAGGGTCCTTAGCTTAGAGATGAGCTTTGAGGGCACTATGGTGTTGAACGCTGAGCTGTAGTCAATGAATAGCATTCTTACCTAGGTGTTCCTTTTGTCCAGGTGTGAAAGGGCAGTGTGGAGTACAATAGATATTGCATCATCTGTGGATCTGTTGGGGCGGTATGCAAATTGGAGTGGGTCTAGGGTTTCTGGGATAATGGTGTTGATGTTAGCCATGACCAGCCTTCAAAGCACTTCATGGTTACAGACGTGAGTGCTACGGGTTGGTAGTCATTTAGACAGGTTACCTTAGTGTTCTTGTGCACAGGGTCTACGGTGGTCTGCTTGAAACATGTTGGTATTACCGACTCACGTCCTTCACTTCAAGCTGAGAGCACTAGGGGCTGAGGTGTTAAATCATAGCAGGTATGTCTCAAGAGCTATAGATGTTTTAGTAAATGGATTACCTCTACCCAGAGGATATGTCATCTGTTATGAGGAGTTCACTGTGGAGTTCATATCTTTCTATTGGTGTTTTGAATACCATTCAATACAGTCAATACAGTAAATGTGTCATTTTAATAGACTTACCATACAAATTGATGTGTCGAATACAGCTCTCAACCACAAGAGGAATAGGTTGACCTGAATCCTGAGAGCAAATCATGGCAATAGTGAGAACAAAGCATGGATGACTGACACTAACTAGAAAAGTATTAACCACAAATACTATACTGTCCATATTGATAGATTCTGATGTTATTGTGAAGCATCACTGCATAATAAAATACATTTCAGCATACTGTGTATTCTATTAATCAGCGCATTGAGTATTCTAGGCCTACCCTGCACCCCGCCATAAGGAAACAAATACCTCTTCTTGATGGCTTCATAAACAGCAGTGTCCACCAACATTCATATGAGCACCATTAAAGTGACAGATAGAAACCATTGCTATTCACAGCCCCTCATTACAGCAAGAAAACAGTCATGAAACAAGTGGAGTAGCAGTGACATGCTATTGGAGCTCATTACTACGACTGCGTATGGAGGAGAAGGCAGAAATCAGCATGTAGAGCTATTAGTGTAATAGTTTTCAGGTGGCCCCACTCTACAGCACCGTGCCACGCGCCCTACCTCCCATCCTACTACCCCCACTGATAGTACCTGGTTGCGGGTACGGGCATTCCGTCTTCCCCTGGGGCAGAAAGCAGTGCAGCAAGGAGGTGCAGAGGAAGGGAAGCAGAGAAGCAACACAGTTAGAGAAGCACAGATGACAGACAGACAGAGCCCCCCCTGGAGGCCTGGAGGATAAGCACAGGTCAAGGGCCGCTGGGATGGCTTGAAATGCAGTGAGATGGGGTGCAGTGAGGGACAGAACCAACTAGCACAGGGCTCTCTACAGAGCCACTATGGGGACTATGAGACACAGTATCCTCACGTCTGAGGATAAGCAGAGGTTAGAGGTTTGTGCTACTGCTACATCTAAAAGGATAGGGAGACACTATTCCTCTGCCACCCTGTCTGTGTGCATCGTCAGAGCCATGGGAAGAAGTGGAGGTAAGGTTAAAGACAGTGGTTACAGGATGAGGTAGAGCAGTGAGCAGGAGGAGAGAGCAAGGGAGAGAGGAGGAGAGGACCCTAGCCACCCTCTCCCTCCAGCCCCACAGAGGGCGCTCATTCACACACCCCAGCCATGGGTGGGTACCTTGATGAAGGTCTCCATATTGCCGTTAAACAGTTTATGGTTATAGATGGAGCGCGGCCTAGGCTTCCGCATTTTCTGTGGTTTAGGGGGTAGAGTGGGGGGCCTGGGGAGATGACGGGTGAGGAGGGGAACAAAAACACCATATGCTGTGAAACAGTTGAAGGAACACACAAGGCTGAAATGTAGTTATAAAAACATCATCTCTCAACAGCCCTGACTTCCACCTTCCCAAATATCCCCCTCTGCTCTATTTATTTTTTGGGAAATGTGTGTAGGCGGGAGGAAGTGATCCATATCCGAATGTTGAAAATTCGACTAAAACTAGATATTTTATCACTTACTGGTGTGTGTTATTTAAACCTGATGGCTCTGCCCTGTAATTAACCCCTAGGCAGCGCTGGGCTGGGCAGGGCTGCTGGGAGTGTTGGGTCCCTGAATGTCTCTAGGGCTGGGGGCCCCTTCATAAAACCCACTCTGACTGACTTATTGAAAACATAAGAGAGGTTAATGACTCCTAATGTATAGCTGAATGTAAACATTATTAATCAGAGCTTATAAAATCAAGCACACCTGCTGATAGTTCAGGTTATCCCTCACATATACACTGAGTGTACAAAGCATTAGGAACACCTTCCTAATATTGAGTTGCACACCCCCCCTTTTGCCCTCAGAACAGCCTCAATTCGTCGGGGCATGGACTGTACAAGGTGTCGAAAGCGTTCCACTGGAATGCTGGCCCATGTTGACTCCAATGCTTCCCACAGTTGTGTGAAGTTGGCTGGATGTCCTTTGGGTGGTGGGCCATTCTTGATACACACAGGAAACTGTTGAGCGTGAAAAACCCAGCAGCATTGCAGTTCTTGACACAAACCAGTGTGCCTGACACCTACTACCATACCCTGTTCAAAGGCACTTCAATATTTTGTCTTGCTCATTCACCCTCTGAATGGCACACATACACAATCCATGTCTCAATTGTCTCAAGGCTTAAAAATACTTATTTAACCTGTCTTCTCCCTTTCATCTACACTGATGGAAGTGGATTTAACAGGTGACATCAATCAATAAGGGATCCTAGCTTTCACCTGGATTCACCTGGTCAGTCTATGTCATGGAAAGAGCAGGTGTTCCTAATGTTTCGTACACTCAGTACAGTGTGGTTAGCAGACCAATGGTACTTCGGCAAGGCCCATCATGGACAGGGCAAGCTAAAGTTTGCCTGGCTACCCAGACTCCTTGTTCTGGCCAAAGGCTATGCCACGCCCACGGACGTTAGTTTCTTCTCCGCAATGAGTCTGGATCTGAGTACCTCCCCGACCCTTCACCAAATGCAAACACATTTGGGGCCATCTGATTGGTCAAGAAACCGATGGGTTGTGCCAGAGCCAGAACACAAGTGGGTAAAGCGCCGGTCATTGGCATTGATACTCTGATTGGCTAGAGACGATCCAATCGCTGATGACTTTGTTTTGTACAATGCCCCTTGTGCCCCTCATCACCACAAATGATTTCAATGATGGCAGTCTCAGACTAAAGAATGTAGCGAACGATAGAGCAGTGGAAAAATTTAGTGTGAGTCGTCAGGCTAAACCAAAGTATCATTCCTACAAGATATTTAAGTCTTATCCAAATAATATGACAAAACATGTTAAAATACACTTAGGGATTTACTTCATTAATTTCACACACACACACACACAAACAGGCACACACGTGCGCACACACACATTCACACCAAGTTGTCTGTGTCCCATAGATGGTAATTTGCCCTCAGAGGGAGGTAGAGCTGACAGTGTTCAGGTTTCATTATTCAGGGCCTGGCATGGCCCCACACAACACACACAACACACACACACACACACACACACACACACACACTAACAGCTACCCAATATGCCTGTTCCATCTGCACTGCGGCCCTGGAGCCCTTCCCAGAGACAGACAGCCCTCTCCTCTCTGCCATCCACCCCGAACTCTAAACACAGCCTCAACCATTCTGCTCATTGTGGCTTTGCAACACATAATGCTTAGGTTTGTATTAACTCCTGGCAATAAGGTAAATGGAGCAGAAAATAACAGTTGTATGTGAACCAGATGCTCTGAGAACTCCATACTGTATGACCTGCAGTAGCTTGTTCCTTTGTTTTTTATCAGACACCCACTGACATCATAGTACCTTAAATATGCACCATGAACTTTGGATACATACATAGATGTAGGTTATGGTTCATTGGGGACTTTGTCTATTTGGCTGAAGACTTGAAAGGCATAGTGTAGGACTTTGTATATTTTACAGTCACATTTTTATATTCATCATACAATGATCATTATTACTCTAGGCCGGGATTTGAAATGGTTCAGTTATCTTCAGACATCTTACCTCGTAGTCCCACATTCAGCCCTTTCTCCTGCAAACACAGAAGAGAGAAATGTCATTAAGAATATGAGTGCATTGCATGCACAGTGCACAGGCTAACTCCTGCTTCTCTATCAGGGCTCAGTGAAGGATTTAATGGGAATAGTCAAAGCTATTGAGGGAGAGCTGAATGGTCTAGCAACAACAGCATCCCTGAGACAAAGGCATTTAGCTGTCGCTGTAGAAACCTCCTAGGGCATCCTGTGGGGTGCAGGCCCGCTGCCCGGGGGAAGAAAAGGGCTCTGGGTGGGAGGTGGAAGATGGAGGACTGGGGGTACAGGGGGGGTCATCTCACACTGGTGACACTGAGCAATGTCAGCGCCAGCTCACTGAGCCCTTTGTCCCAAAGCCCTGTGCATGTCTCAACACACACAGAGACACATGTGCACGCATAAACACCAAACCTAAACTTTCACAAATAGTTTCACTTTCTTTCAAACTTTCACGAAACCCAAACTTTCACACCCCCCCCCCCTCTCTCTCTCACACACACAACCAATACACGTTGTCTAGTCTCAGGTAAACACAAGACATTGAGTATAGGTTAGGCAATGAAGAAGTCAGTTAGGTCTTATTACTGTAATCCGTATCCATCAGAAGGGCTCTCCCACTAACCACAGCTCTAACAGCTGCATCTATGAACTCATTTCAAAGCCAATAGTTAATCAAGAGTTTATTAGCTAGTGTTGAAAAAAGCCCTTTGTCTATTAAATAGAATCCACTGAGCATTGACTGAATGTGCCTTGTTGTGTACAACAAGCAATAACAGTACACTGCACTATTCCAGCATTCTGTTGTTTCCTTTCTGTCAGCTTTAGAATGAGAGACGATAGTGATGACTGACCCATTTCTCTATACATGTTGGCAGTACAGATGCCATATCTTAATTTCATCATCCTGTTGCTATCAGACCATTTCTTACATGAATATGTTATGTTGATTGTCCTGCCATCCAGGTCTCCAGTTGGTCATTTTGTACATGTATGTTGTTTACGCAATCCAAAAACCGTCAATTATAAATCGCAATCTGGGTCAGGTGGGCATGATTTAAAAGCTTGTTCTATTGCCAACATGATTAGCTAAGTTATAAAATATGATCTTACAGTGTTAGGCTTTCACAAGGCAATTCAGAGAAACAGATTGGAATTTTGGGGTGCATAGAAAGGAGTCATGACTCATGAGTGCATTCAGGTGCGTGTGCCGCAGGAAATTTTCTTCACAATAAACAAACATTAGCTCATTCTGTTCAGAACAACCCAGGGTATGACGCCATGTCATCTTGTAACTGTACATCAAACATAGTGATCATAAACGTGATTTGGAAATGTGAACTGCACATTTGGACTCACAGGTGTTTGGCTTGCTTTATTACATCAAAGCGGTATTTATTATAATCCTCAACGTCTCATCTTTTAAAATACATCAAGTCATCTTAATTTATAGCATTTCCCTCACTAACAACAAATTAGTGAGGGATGAGGGCAGCTTCTTGTCACGCGTGGTGCTCAAGTTCAGAACGGCTGTCAGTCAAAACCCATACAGCGCTGTGAAGTGCAGAGTCAGTGTAAAGGGTTAAGTGTCTTATCGTAACTACAAGAATACAGCAGCAATTGGTGACTGAAGTACTTTTGTTCAAATGAGCAGAATGCTTTATGTAAAAGCTGCAAAGTTGTGGTCTCAATATTCTAAACCTACACATCAAATACAGCGCCATAATCTAACAATAGGCAATTCATCATTATGATGGTGTATTTTGTATGACTAGCTGTGAATTCTACCTGCGTTAAATTGAGATATTCATGGTGAACCTCTCTAAAGTATATAATACAGAAGATCTGTGATTTCCACTCAGAACCCAGGAGGGTAGCTATCCCAGCCATGTTGAGTAGTTTCCATGTTGACATAGTGCTGTAGTAATCTATACAGCTAGGTCTGATGTGTGCACCATGTGGTATTCTCCATGGTCACTAATAACACATTCATGCATGTACACACACACACACACACACACACACAAACATACACACACACACACACACACACACACACACACACACACACGCTTAATGAGCAGGCTTGATTGATCACCTGAATAATTAAACATGGTTGGTACCTGCAGCCGCCATATGGGCTATGTTCACATGAAAACACATTCAAGCAGTACGAGGTATTAGTTCATAGAGATCTGAAGATGACAGAGGAACATTAGGGATGCCTAAACTGACGAGACAAATCCATGTCGACCAAGTTTGTGCACTGTCTGTGTGCATGAGGTGAAATTGTGTGTGTGTGCATGGCCTCAGTTGGTTGTGCCTGCTGTCCCTCTCTACTAGGTGAACCCCTGGTGCAGTAGCAGCTGCTGAGATGGGCCTGTGCTGCTGGGAGCTGGGACATCCTGACTGATTGGGCGTAAACTGCTCACGGCTGAGGTGACAAAGGTCTCCCTGGGAGGGGTCTCTGTGAGAGGGGCGGGGGTTTCTATTACCCACACTCCTCTAGGATCCTCCTAGAGGCTACAACATACCTCTTCCCTGGTTCCCTACTGCCCCTTGAGAAGACACAAGTCCCTGTGGTCTCCTCCCTCCTCCTCAGCCTGGTTCAGCTCTGCTCATTAGATAAGAGCTCCACAACACTACTGGGCCTGAGGGCGACCATTTTACAGACCCATGAAGTATCCCAGGGATTTCTGGTTCCTAATGAGCTAGGCGTTGACACGCAAGGCCTGGCGCCTGCCATTAACACCACTGTGACCAGGAGGAAGTAGGAGCATTAAGTGAAGGGGTGTCAAACTAACATTGATGTAAATAGACATAATGTCATTGGTGGAGAGACTGAGGGGCCTTACCTTCTCCCAGTGTCTGCTTCAGGAGGTCATGCTTGGCCTGCAGTTTAATGATGAGGTTGCTGCCGTTCAGGAACTCCTTGAATTTCTGTGAACTCAGACAGACCAGATGAAGGCATCAGTGAGTGAACAGCGCTAATGGGATGTGACTTGAACAGACGTAGCTGCCTACCATCCACCACCGAGGCCAGAGAACACATTCAGTCAGTTTCACTCTGAACGGAACAAACTCAATCTGTTCCAGGGATAATTGCATTTCCATGTGATTTCGAAAGCATGGAGCTTGTCATATGTGTATATGGAATAGTGTGATGGCTGATGGCTTGATGTTGATATGCAGTACCGTACACTGCAGTGCCCCGCACTAAGCTGACGCTCAAGGTCCTTTTAGTCAGGGAGTAAAGGCTATGGTAGTACAGCCAGGTCTGTTACTTAAGTGTGAAACAGATATAACAGGCAGTTGCCCTGAGACATGGCTCCATATCTTAGGGGCAAAACAATCAGGTATGAAGGCTATGTAAAACAGGCAGGTATGAAGGCTTTGTATAACAGGCAGGTATGAAGGCTATGTGTAACAGGCAGGTATGAAGGCTTTGTATAACAGGCAGGTATGAAGGCTTTGTATAACAGGCAGGTATGAAGGCTATGTGTAACAGGCAGGTATGAAGGCTATGTATAACAGGCAGGTATGAAGGCTATGTATAACAGGCAGGTATGAAGGCTATGTATAACAGGCAGGTATGAAGGCTTTGTATAACAGGCAGGTATGAAGGCTATGTATAACAGGCAGGTATGAAGGCTATGTATAACAGGCAGGTATGAAGGCTATGTATAACAGGCAGGTATGAAGGCTTTGTATAACAGGCAGGTATGAAGGCTTTGTATAACAGGCAGGTATGAAGGCTATGTGTAACAGGCAGGTATGAAGGCTATGTATAACAGGCAGGTATGAAGGCTATGTATAACAGGCAGGTATGAAGGCTATGTATAACAGGCAGGTATGAAGGCTTTGTATAACAGGCAGGTATGAAGGCTATGTATAACAGGCAGGTATGAAGGCTATGTATAACAGGCAGGTATGAAGGCTATGTATAACAGGCAGGTATGAAGGCTATGTATAACAGGCAGGTATGAAGGCTATGTATAACAGGCAGGTATGAAGGCTATGTATAACAGGCAGGTATGAAGGCTTTGTATAACAGGCAGGTATGAAGGCTATGTGTAACAGGCAGGTATGAAGGCTATGTATAACAGGCAGGTATGAAGGCTATGTATAACAGGCAGGTATGAAGGCTATGTATAACAGGCAGGTATGAAGGCTTTGTATAACAGGCAGGTATGAAGGCTATGTATAACAGGCAGGTATGAAGGCTATGTATAACAGGCAGGTATGAAGGCTATGTATAACAAGTAGGTATGAAGGCTATGTATAACAGGCACGTATGAAGGCTATGTATAACAGGCAGGTACTCACAGTGAAGTAGAAGACCTCTGTCTCCTGCTGGTTGGCCCGTCTCTTGGCCACGTTCAGTTTGCTCATGTAGGTCTCAGAGGCCACAGACTTGATGGACTCAGTGGAGCGGCTATGCTGGAAGGCATCGGACACATCAAAGTCCTCCACAGTCAGCATGTCCTGCAGCGTCTGCATGGTGGCGTCCAGAGTCTTCCTCACCTACAGCAATGGGAACGATTCAACAACTGAAAAGATTGACAAACAAACCAGGATTTCCTCCTCATTCATCTGATCTAGGTCCTTTCTAACATAATAGGCCAGTTAGAAGCTTTTTAGCTCCAGGGTTCCCTATGACATGTGCAAGGTCAAGTGTGAGTGATCACTGGCATATCCAATTTCAAAGACAAATCGACCCTGAATAACAATGGAAGACCATTGACTGTAGCTGTATGACAGCTGGCAGCCTTCCTCTAGCCTAAAACAGGTACAGGGCTCATTCCTGGCAGTGTACCAGATGACCCGCCGGTCAGCCATCCATCAGAATAACAGCAGAATATGAAGAGCGTCTGGTCTGGCTGGATGACATGCAGGCTGTATGTAAAAGGGATGCAGGCTCTTTCTCTACAGCTCTGAGATTACCCGCCAGTTATATGAGACGTTATGAGACATAGGGAGATATGAGACAGAGCCAAGGCATAGCCATCAGGGCAGGCTTTAGCTAGCCAGCCAGGGCCATTAGCACCTCTGTTAGAACCTGCATCAACTCAGAGGGAGAGAGGTGTGTCTGTGTGTGTGTGTGTGTGTGTGTGTGTGTGTGTGTGTGTGTGTGTGTGTGTGTGTGTGTGTGCGCTGCCTGCTGAGGACTAGTCATCACAACACACAATATCCCATCAACAGTGATGCACTGTATCTACATGGATACAGTGCATCAAGTTCATTCACAAGCTGAATATACACTCTGCTCCCAGGGATTGTGTGTGGGCCACTGAAATGAAATCGCGATGAGAGCTGATGGTATCTAAAGACTGGCTGAGTTCGGGCGTGTCAGAGAGAGAGGTGACAGAGGCACAGAGGCTACAGGGCGGTCTCAGTGGGGGGAAGCAGCAGACACACTGTGGGGACGCTATCGTGAGCCCTCACCTCTTCGTTCTGGATCTTGAGCATGGTCAGGCGGGACTGCAGCTGGTGGTAGCGCATCAGGAGCTCAGTCTGCACTGGCTGCTGGGCACTCACCTGGCACACCTGAAGGGACGCATAGACAGAGAGGTATAGGCCGAGCAACTTGGTTTTTCACAAACTATCTCACAGGATTGGAAAAAGCATGCTTGCTGCTTCTGCTGGCATGAATGTGGTTTCCATGGTTTAACAAATATATTGGTTGTACTTGTAACTTGGATACATTTCGATAAAGATATAGTATGAATCTAGAAATGTACCAAATGTATCAGTCATTTAACACCTCTCACCTCGTCCCCCATGTGCGGCAGGTACTCGAAGCGCATGGGAGGGCAGAACACCTGGTTGTGCATGTCCATGATCTTGTGCTTGTCACTGCGGGAGTCCAGGTTGTCCACGGCATTCTCGACGATGTCCAGGCCCTCATGCCGACTAGTCTCCAGGTTGTACTCAGCTGACAGATAGGTCCTGAAAGTACGTGCCAGGCTGGCATGGTAGCCAAGGTCGCAGCACTATAGAGAGACAGTCATTATAGTTATATACAATAAATAACATAGGAGTAGAATATAATAAAGGGTTCGATCCCCGGGACCACCCATACACAAAAAATTTATGCACGCATGACTGTAAGTCGCTTTGGATAAAAGCGTCTGCTAAATGGCATATTATTATTATTATTATTATTATTAAAGGAGTTTGTCATGACCACATGACCTGACTGTAAGCATACACCTTGGGTCCAGAGGTTTCCAGCTCAGGTCACGTGTCTAAGAACATCCTGGCCCTAATTATGAACAACCTGACAAACCAGCCTGAATCCATGCCCTCATTATACACAAGTCAATGTGATAAACTCAGTCTTTAGCATGCATACGATTCAGTTACACAATTCCGCTCATTTTCTAAGAGCAAGTTACTAACCTGACCTCCAACATTAACTAAATTCCAAATTAGACACTGTTGTGGGTTGACAGGCAGAAATAGAATAATAGAATAGACCAAATTAGAAAAGCAAGTACAGTAGGACACCTAAGATAATTAGCTCAACCATGGAGCTGCATAAACTAACCTCATTACTATAGCCAAGTGGGTTTCTAAGAGGCTGGAGGGGCCTGAGTCTGACTGCTTTGTGATTCACTAAACGCTCTTTAAAATACACACAGGAAGTTGCGCTCGACTCCAATGATAAACCCCCATAGCAGCGATTGTTTTATAACAGGATCAGTGTACAATGAGGAAGGATATGGGAGCACAGAGCTCTTTATGGTACAGAGTTGTATTTCAACAGCCACATCCCATAAGAAACACACTGGCTGGCTGGAATGAGTTCCATGCTTTGATTTCATCAGGGTCCTATCATGAGTAGACTGCAGCAGGAGTGCTGACAGGCAGAATAGTGGTACTGCAGAACTGATGACATTGTTTACTTGCATGCAAAAGACGTCTGTATTATATTTCCATTGATTCGGATGGACAGGGCTGACTTCTTGCAGTGTGGATGTCTGTTTTGATGTCTGGCTGCTAGTGACTGTTTCTGTGTGGCATGACAAACAGGCCCTTATCCTCTGCCCAGCTTGTGGCGGCACAGCACAGCGAGTCATGCTCACAGTCCCTTTCCCTGCAGCGCGGCAGGATTTGGGATGACATGGCCCCTTTCGCTTGCCAGACACAGGAAGCTGCTCTAACAAAGTGACCCAGCACAGAGACACAGCCACCAATCAGAGGTCTCCGTCTGGCAGACCCCTGTGTAGCCTACAGCTCCTGGCTAGCTCTTTCACTCTTCACCCAGTTGATGTTTAGAACCATTTAAAGAGAAAAATCCTGGATGCAATCTATCTCATTGCCAGAAGTCTGGCCAGCCTCAAGCCTCTCAGTTCAATCGCATCATATGTTTCTAGGCATACAGTACTTTAAATATGCAGGATCTCTGTATCCAACTCCCTGACCTGTTCGGAGTATCAGGAAAGGCCAGGCAGGCCTGGGGCAATACCACAGTAACCACATAGCAGTAGACCGGCAGGGAGGTGGGGGAGGACATCTGGGGGTAGATCCACCAGGTAACCTGGGGCTGAATGATCCCTGCCACAACCACCAGGTAACCTGAGGCTGAAAGATCCCTGCCACAACCACCAGGTAACCTGGGGCTAAATGATCCCTGCCATAACCACCAGGTAACCTGAGGCTGAATGATCCCTGCCACAACCACCAGGTAACCTGGGGCTGAAAGATCCCTGCCACAACCACCAGGTAACCTGGGGCTGAATGATCCCTGCCACAACCAGCAGGTAACCTGAGGCTGAATGATCCCTGCCACAACCACCAGGTAACCTGAGGCTGAATGATCCCTGCCACAACCACCTGGTAACCTGAGGCTGAATGATCCCTGCCACAACCACCAGGTAACCTGGGGCTGAATGATCCCTGCCACAACCACCAGGTAACCTGGGGCTGAATGATCCCTGCCACAACCACCAGGTAACCTGGGGCTGAAAGATCCCTGCCAACCACACTGGTCACACTGCTGCCTGCATACACAGAGCCTGTGTGTGTGTGCATGCGTGTGTGTGTCGGTGTCACCCAGGGTCATGTTTCACCATCAGTGTGTTTTGCTTGGCTCCCTGGGAGAGTGTGGTGTGTGACAGTGACAGGGCCACGCTCCGCTCCACGTCTCTCAGCACAGCTTCCAAAGGGGCCTTAGCCCTCCCAGATAGATGAGAGCATGACAGAGGGAGGAGAGGAGAACAGGGGTAAGAGAGGGAAGAGAAGACCAGGAGGAAGGCATTCTGACTGTCAACACTGAACCATTCCCTTGACAGGAAGTCATCATTTATATTCCAGAAGAATCATAACAATGCCTTTTGGGTGGTAACATACAGTAGGAGTGTAATGTATACCTGGCAAAGCCATTCAGTTAGGCATATAACAACAGTACTACTGGGTGGCTTAGAACAAAACTGTTGTGTTTGAGATTAAGAGACACAAAATGGAGGTAAACACTTTCAGTCAAACCAACAGAGCAGCTTGTACCAATACAGCAAATGGGCTGAGAACCGTGAAACAGATGGTGAGAATATCTAGTGTAGCAACGTTAGACCAACATTAGACAATCCCAGCTGAGAGACACAAACCAACCTGTGTGCCTATCGCATACTTACATCAATCATATCAGAGACATCGTGGATGTAGTATTTCGCCACAACGGCATTCGTTGCTGCCAGGTTCAACAAATAGTCATTGCGGGCTTTAGTGCACTTCAGCTTGTTTTCGGAGTACTTGGCTTGTCTCTGGGGGAAGGAGAGAGAAATGGAGAGCAGACAAAGAGGGGCTCAAATAGAGTCCATGAAATTAAGCAACATTGAGTGGGCTAAATGGTATTTGCACAATAACATAGGAGGATTGCTGTGCAGCCTTATGGCCTGGCATAGTGTTGTCAGGAAAGAGGTCAGAGGGGTCCACTGTAAGAGAGGTTCTTTAAGAAGCTTCCTGTAGACAATAACAGCATCATAAGTGGTCTACCCAGGCTGGTCCTTCACAGTCCCACCCTCACAGCCATTCTGTCTTTCTGCTAACACTTGGCACAACAATCTGCACAGCCCATATGTGAACAATGAAACAGCCATAAAATACTGTTTCGGTTCAGTTTGCTTGCAAACAAAAACAAACTCACACAAACATTCACTCTAGTGTTCTCCAATTGTGCTCACACATAAAACAAGTCATGTTTATAATGTGTCAATGAGAAGTAATCTACGAGAATGTGTATATTTCTCATTGCGCAGTAGATTCACAGTGCAAATAACACAAAGCTCTAGATGGTGCACCGTCTTTGTTGTTATGGTTAACTGGACATGTTGCATCTGCTTAAGGCATCCAGCTGGGAAATATTCAATGATTCATAAAACTGAATAAGTAGTCGTCTGCTGTTCACATAGCATCACTAATGGATGTTAGTAGACCGATACATAATGGTATTGACAAAATCAATTGACTTAAATGGAAAGCAGTGGCACAGAATCATTGAAACTTGGCTCACAAAGCAGGACTAAAGAGAGAGACAATTTAACAGCCAAACATTGACGTGTGTCTGCGTGTGTGTGTTTGAAACCACTCCTTATCCTCTTCCAGATGGATAATACTGGATAGCATGTACTTCAAATATACAGTGGGGAGAACAAGTATTTGATACACTGCCGATTTTGCAGGTTTTCCTACTTACAAAGCATGTAGAGGTCTGTAATTTTTATCATAGGTACACTTCAACTGTGAGAGACGGAATCTAAAACAAAAATCCAGAAAATCACATTGTATGATTTTTAAGTAATTAATTTGCATTTTATTGCATGACATAAGTATTTGATCACCTACCAACCAGTAAGAATTCCGGCTCTCACAGACCTGTTAGTTTTTCTTTAAGAAGCCCTCCTGTTCTCCACTCATTACCTGTATTAACTGCACCTGTTTGAACTCGTTACCTGTATAAAAGACACCTGTCCACACACTCAATCAAACAGACTCCAACCTCTCCACGATGGCCAAGACCAGAGAGCTGTGTAAGGACATCAGGGATAAAATTGTAGACCTGCACAAGGCTGGGATGGGCTACAGGACAATAGGCAAGCAGCTTGGTGAGAAGGCAACAACTGTTGGCGCAATTATTAGAAAATGGAAGAAGTTCAAGATGACGGTCAGTCACCCTCGGTCTGGGGCTCCATGCAAGATCTCACCTCGTGGGGCATCAATGATCATGAGGAAGGTGAGAGATCAGCCCAGAACTACACGGCAGGACCTGGTCAATGACCTGAAGAGAGCTGGGACCACAGTCTCAAAGAAAACCATTAGTAACACACTACGCCGTCATGGATTAAAATCCTGCAGCGCACGCAAGGTCCCCCTGCTCAAGCCAGCGCATGTCCAGGCCCGTCTGAAGTTTGCCAATGACCATCTGGATGATCCAGAGGAGGAATGGGAGAAGATCATGTGGTCTGATGAGACAAAAATAGAGCTTTTTGGTCTAAACTCCACTCGCCGTGTTTGGAGGAAGAAGAAGGATGAGTACAACCCCAAGAACACCATCCCAACCGTGAAGCATGGAGGTGGAAACATCATTCTTTGGGGATGCTTTTCTGCAAAGGGGACAGGACGACTGCATCGTATTGAGGGGAGGATGGATGGGGCCATGTATTGCGAGATCTTGGCCAACAACCTCCTTCCCTCAGTAAGAGCATTGAAGATGGGTCGTGGCTGGGTCTTCCAGCATGACAACGACCCGAAACACACAGCCAGGGCAACTAAGGAGTGGCTCCGTAAGAAGCATCTCAAGGTCCTGGAGTGGCCTAGCCAGTCTCCAGACCTGAACCCAATAGAACATCTTTGGAGGGAGCTGAAAGTCCATATTGCCCAGCGACAGCCCCAAAACCTGAAGGATCTGGATAAGGTCTGTATGGAGGAGTGGGCCAAAATCCCTGCTGCAGTGTGTGCAAACCTGGTCAAGACCTACAGGAAACGTATGATCTCTGTTATTGCAAACAAAGGTTTCTGTACCAAAAATGAAGTTCTGCTTTTCTGATGTATCAAATACTTATGTCATGCAATAAAATGCAATTTAATTACTTAAAAATCATACAATGTGATTTTCTGGATTTTTGTTTTAGATTCTGTCTCTCACAGTTGAAGTGTACCTATGATAAAAATTACAGACCTCTACATTCTTTGTAAGTAGGAAAACCTGCAAAATCGGCAGTGTATCAAATACTTGTTCTCCCCACTGTACATGATTCACTAACTCAAATTGCACATGTCCATTATCATGCATCGGAGAAAAGGGGATTATGGCTTGATTGTCTCCTCTCCCTCTTCAACTTTGTTTGGAGGTAGCTAGGAGGATTCTGAATGAGACTGCCACTGTAGCCTGCAAAATTAAGTTACTAGGCAGCGCGAAGAGAAATAACGTTCATAGTTACAGCAAGTTAGAAATAGTGAGTGTGGTTGGTATGGTTCTCCTGGCAGCATCTCTGTAGAGATGGCAGCCTGAGGAGGGAGGAAAGCTGTCGGCCTGACAGCCTTTTGATTCCCTGAGCTGCACTGATAATGGAGATGCATTTGCATGAAGAAATTCCCCCTGAAAATCAAATCAAATTGTATTTGTCACATGCGTCGAATACAACGGCTGTAGGCTTTACCGTGAAATGCTTGCTTATGAGCCCTTCCCAACGATGCAGCTGTCAGAGTGCATGTATGTGTATGTGTCTAGCTGTGGACCCATGCTCTGGTCGGTCGGCTCCGTCTCAGAGTGGTGAGCTTACACAATGGACCTGCACCCACTCTCACACAGCCTTACTATCTTCTCATTCACGTACTACTAAGAGGGTCTCTCTGGCCCAAAATGGGCCCACCATGATTCAACCCGCCGCACAAAATACCACTTACGGAAGTGACTAGGCTGAAAACATACAGAACTAGCAGCAGTCCCAGCCAACAGCTCTTACGGTCATCAAGCCTTGGTGTCACCCTCACCTTCTCCTTCATCTTCTCGATCTTCCTGACAGAGCTGCGTCTCTGGGGCCGGTCCTCGTGGCGCAGCAGGTGTACGTTGAGGTCACCAGACTTACTGAACTGCTTCTCCTCCTGCTTCTCAGCGTCCTTCAGCTTGCTCTCAGCGCTGATGCTCTCTGTGTGGTACATGTGGTAGGTCTTCATCACCTGGAGGAGCAGGAGCAGGACACGGGAGGATGAGGAGGGTGTAACAAAAACTGGACATAGAGTGAACAAATGGGTGACCTGAGGTGACACCTAGTTTCAAATGTTTAATTTTAATCTACATACTAACAACAAGCTGCATGATATAGTCCCTTCAACTTTGACATGTGGAAGCTGTTATTTGCCCCTTTGTTGGCCTAAGCTCAGTGAGCGTACACACACGCATACACATGTACGTGCACACACACAGACACACACAAATTACACACACTGCAGGGTGTTTGTTTCTACTTCAGTGTTCGTGTCCCCCATATAGCGAGCAGATGCCAGTCAGATAATGTTTTCAATAGAGCATGACTGGCAGACAGACAGACAGACAGCACAGAACAGTGTCTAACCATCAGACAGACAGACAGACAGACAGACAGACAGACAGACAGACAGCACAGCGGGTCTAACCATCAGACAGACCGACAGACAGACAGCACAGCGGGTCTAACCCTCAGACAGACACAGACAGACAGCACAGCACAGTGGGTCTAACCCGCTGTTCTGTGCTGTCTGTCTGTGAGGGTTAGACCCATTGTTCTGTGGTGGGGCCTCAGGAGGTCTTGGTGGCCCATTCTGCATCCTTGTAAAGTAGAGCCCTGATGTGCGCAACATCTTAAAATGCCTCCTGTGCGTGTTACTCGACAGTGAGGGAGACCCAGTACTATAACTAGATACACCCCAGGATGTTAGACTGACTGAGAGCCTGACATTAACGCTAGGTTGTTCTCTTCCAGTAGTTAATGCTCACTTTGTGTAGCATCATGTGACCGGATGGTATGGCTCCCTTTAATCTGGAAAGAGTACTAGACACTTATGAGACCATCACAGGGTTAATGGGTTAGTTTGGGTTATGTCAACTCACACACAGACAGAATCTCTACTATTTCCAGCTGACTGCTACTGTATGATAGTAAGGTTTCTTAGTCAGAAGAACAGCATATTTTCGTCATCTAGTCAATGCTTTGTTCAACAGAGCTCCACTGCACAAGGAGTGTAAAAAAAAAGACAAACATTTGAAAGACAAACACTTCAAAGAAAAAACACAAAGCAAAAACAAACTCTAATCTACTCTGGTATATGACAGAGCTCAATGTAGAAACAAGTCACTCCAGTATTTCGAGAAACTAGGCTAGCAGTGTGCATCCCTAGGTTGGCAACCAATTTCTCCAACAACGTGAAAATAAAATAGGGTTTCCAGTCAACTTTGAGCAGCAACTAAAAGACCTGCAGCTAAAGACAAAGTCATTTGCAGGAACATTGAGGTGAGGCAGGGTTTACCTTCCAGGAGGTGTGTGTATGTGTGTGGTTACTGTATGTCTCCACTCAGACAATGCCCTAAGGCAATTTTACTTAAGAACACGCTCTCTGTTTTTGCACCGATGAAAGCTACCAGGAACATATTCCATTGTGGATATACAGACAGACGTGATTTCCACTTAAAGTGAACCGTGGCTGCAGCATTGAAATGTTAATGCTGAGACCTCACCCAACCTAACATGACAGACAGATAGCACAGCACAGACAGAACAGAATAGTGGGTCTAACCCTCAGACAGACAGACAGACAGACAGACAGACAGACAGACAGACAGACAGACAGACAGACAGACAGACAGACAGACAGACAGACAGACAGACAGACAGACAGACAGACAGAACAGAACAGTGGGTCTTACTTTTAGAATTGGAATTTGGTTTACTTTCTGAATTGCCTGGAATTGCAATTTCCACTTAAAGTGAACTGTGGCTGCAGCATTAAAGAGACCTTACCCAACCTAACATGTTTCCGCAAATGTGCCACTTTGATATTTTATTCTGTGTTCTATGAGCCTGTGAATTAAAGCCAAATAGTTTTCCCGTAGTTTTTCAATTGGAAAATATGAATGTGTTGTGTGAGGAGACCTGTCACAATAAACATGTCCATTATGACTAACAATTACCATGACAGTCAGAGGAGCACCCCGGAATGAAACTGGAGAGAGATGGAGAAACTGGGCCTGTTGTGGCACTGAGACGGTCTGTATCAGACTGTTATGCTCATCTCAGACCCAGGGTGGAGACTGAGAGAGCACATCATCTCCATCATTTTCTTAATTTGTTGAAACAAATTTACTACCAGGGTGGTGTGGTGCTGCATTCATTAGACAAACAGCCTCTAGTTGAATAACAAATGAACCAAGTGAACTGCAGCAGGATTTTTGGTTCCTGTACTGTCTGGATCAGCGCAGCCAGGTGAGTAATTGACTCTGTGATCCACTAAAGAGATTGAAGCTCTTTGCTCTCATTTCTCATTTCAGATTCACTATATGTAATTCAAGCCACGAGCATCAAGCCTCACGCCCTCAAATCAATATCTGTCTCAGCAGCAGCAGCAGCAGCAGCAGCAGATACTTTAAACAATGTTTGAACAATAGCTTAAGCCTTAAATCACACCCCTCTGTGTTAGTGCATGTGAAAGGCATTCACAAGGCATTCTGCAATTCTACTTCTGACTAAATATGTGGTATCTGAGGAATTTATGACTTTGCTAACGTTTTCAAATGGTATCTTGGAGGATGTTGATTCAGCTTAGGGAAGCATCTGGGGAGCAGTTTTATAGGGGCACCCCATAAAACAGAGGAAGTCTGTTGTGTGGAGTCATGGGATTGGTCTGTATGGGAAAACACCCATATCATGGTAAAGATTATAAATACTTGGTTGAGACAAAGGAGGATAGAACAACATATTATTTTTGAGTCATTGTTCTCCAGATGCCTGGAGACGTCTGTAAACTTATGCTGAAATCTTGTGATATAAATAAACCTTTATAATCAAAGTACAATGTAAGCGGACTCCTTGGTCTCACAGCAAAGATTAGCATTATTCTTTATAAACAACAGAAATGGCGGCGAGGAACGTTTGGGACGTGATGCGTCTCTCCAGTGTTCCATTCATGTGCGGCGAAGTGACTCCCGCCCAAGACGCCGGCTCATAAGGTGAGATTTCTCACAATTTTGTGCGCTGGTTGGTTCGCTTGCTTATGGGTGTGTGCGCTGGAGAAATGTACAGTTTAAAAGACTTATGTGTGCAGATTTTGCTGTTATTTGCTGTGGGATAGGAGTCCGTTCTAAAAATTCTAAATTTGCTTGCGCTGGTAACAACGCAAACAGGGGGGGAGTGTCTATAACTATTGAATAATATAATGAAGGAATAAGGCCAGGGTAAATGTATACAAATTAGACCATTGCGAATCTATGGAAGCCCTCTAACGAGGCGATCATTAGGATGGGCCGAAAATCCTAAAAACACGTTAGGTGTATTTAGGTGAGTCCCGGGGGCTTGAGGTTGTGGTATATATATTCGGTTGCAAGTTACCTCTCAACATGTGGTTGACTAATTATATGATTGATGTGACCGCTCATCGACATGTCCGCGACCTCGTGGTAGCAGAAATTTAGGAACAATGGAATTATACGGCGCAATGTAGGTAGCATACTGCCTTAGAGGTCCATAGGAAAGGGACGAGCCTCTTAAACTGTGTATGTATGTGTGTATGGGAGAGAGAAAAATGGTGGAGTGGAGACGTGTCTGAGCTGTGTGTCAACTCATGTTGGGATGGAATTTGTGTTGGAGATCTTGTGAGTCTCCGTGGGTGAGAACGTTGGTGGTTGTTAACTATATGTGAGCCCCCTGGAAGGACGTTAAGGTTAAAAATGTCATGACTCCTATAAAAAGCCATTAGAAATCAGGACAGGAGAGTTTTAAT